TTCCAAGATGGCGTCGGCAACAATACGAAATGGAACGAATTCGAATTTGTCGTTGCAATGCGTCACGCGTTACGTCACGAGTTTTACGTCATATATGTAATATTTCGAGTATTTTAATTGCAGTTTTTAAAGGAAAGTTTATTTTTAACAAATTCTTTTCTCTCGGATTTGGCAGAATATTTGTTAAATGTAAAACTTCGCTAAAAAGAAAATTTACTCGGTTTACATTACAAGTGGTTGGGGTTTGATTGGAAACAATTGCTTCCACCATTGTAAGATCGGGAATTTACAACATATTTCATACAACTGAAAGTTTTAATTTATATTGTCACAATATTTTCTTAACTGTGAAAAAATGGGTAGCTGCACTTCCTTCTTGCAAATAGATTTGTGTAATTTACATAATAAACAACAACCCAACACATTCCTATTACCAAATGATCTGTCAGATTATCTATTGGGATATGTTGAGCCTAATAACTAATTACATAACAAGTCAGTTTGGCTAGAGGTACGTGCTTTAGCTGCTCTCCTAATAAATTTAAAAATTAAAATTAAATTAATGTTAAATTTAGAATATTCCGTAAGAAAATAATTGTCCAGAATGGGACTCAAATCCACAACTAAATATGGTGGATATGTGTTGAATAATCAGTACATCTAATACATCGAACAAAATTCATTATAGCATAACTAATTTGCGAATGTAAATAATCACAATCCACGGTCCTTGGATCATTACTGTTGAATATACATTATATATTATTCATTTATCTAAGTTAACGTCTGGAGTATAGCTTATATTATATGCATACGGATAATAGGAACGTGAAAATTCTGCGTGAAAAACTAAATAATAGGCCGACTGATTGCATAGAATTAGTAACACAACGTTTATAATTGATGAATAGAGTATCTACTTGCATTTGTACCGTTTTTCTGTGCCACAACAAACTCCACCAGAAATCATTGTCAATATTGTTCTGAACCAGCTCCCGCAGTTGCAGACAAATCTGTCTCTCCTATTCCAGGGACAATCGAGTCTTACGATTCAGTGTAAAAGGGCGGAGCACAAGATGACGTGAAAGTGTTGAGTCGGAAAAACATTGGGAACCCAGTGATTCTTCTTTTCATTCCGTGTCAGATCACAGGATTTTGATGGGAAAAAGCTAACTCTTGGGCCAAGTCAATAGCAATCATGAAATACCAAACCGGTAGTGCCTTACGACATCGCCCATTGCCAAAGCTAGATGTTTCAGAAGGATGACTCAAAATAGGAAAAAGCAGTTCCTTTCTATTTCGATTTCAGGCCCAAACTTGAAGAATAACTTACAAAAAAACAAGCCATTTGCGGGTCTTTGCCCTGCAAGTCTTCAAGAAAATAGTAGCTTTTGATGGAGCAAAGACAACATCGATGAAAAGCATGAATATTCCGACGATGCAAAGGGCATTTTTTACAGAGCAAAACATTATTCTTTGATTCCTCGTGAAATCTAGACAGTGGTTATACATAGGCTGTCTTAAATACAGAAGTAAATACTGTACAAATTTCTATACTGCTCATACACTATAATAAGTGAAAACTTATATTAATATTCATCAAATCTATAAGCAAACAACCATCCTGAACAAATATATGAAAAAACAATGGACATTTCTTGTGAATTAATTACAGAGAACATTAAAATTGCCGAATGTCATCTATAAAATGAGAATGTAGCAGAGAACCGACAAAGTGAAATTCGCCATTCACATAAAATTCAATCATATAATGAATACGATTCGGTTATATTGTCGGTGTGTGTGATAAAAATATTGTTCACCTAGTGGAAAGCCTAGAATGCATCTATAAAATAAAAGGAAAGCGTTTTGATATTTAGAGGTATTAATCTGTCAAACTGATGATTTTACACAATAATTTAAAACACGCACAGAATTAATACCACCCTTCTAGCGCACAATAACTAACCAACTAACACAAATTTGAACAATAATAGAATAGTCGCATTCACTCATTTACATACCATGCGTATACGTTATAAATAACGTAATGATAAATCCTGAACACTCGCTTCCCAAAATCCATTCCTTGGGTTCTCATCCCGGGAAACGATAACTCTTTTCGATAATTAATCAATCGCCAGCCGAAGGATCTCTTTAACAAATAAGTCAATTTGGCAATTAAAATCGTAAAGTTTGAGACACAGAACTTTTGAGAACGTTTGAAAACGTCTGAGGTACCAGTGTTATAATTTGCTAGAATTAATTACACTACATTGCTGTACAAACCTCTCAATTATAACAGATCGCTAGTGAGAGCAGAATATTTATTACAGAAGAATAGTAAGCAAGTGGGGCATCTCACTTAAGATGTATCACACTTGGTTTATCATATTGTGACCAAACTGATTGTAATATTATATATCAGATAGAGAAGAAGGCAAGGTTCGTGACATGTTTATGTTTTTACTCTTGGTCTACCATGGTACTTTTGCCGTAACTTCGTACGAAATCGCCTGGAAGACATGAAATTCAGAATACAAAGACAATGTTTTGCACTTAACTAAGCAAATATTTAACTAAGCGTGAGATATATGCATCATACAAAACAAATATATGGAATATTTTATATCTAATTATATATAATACGCATTATCTATCTTATATTCTTCTGTTTCATTAATGCACTTAATTATACCAAATACTTCTTTAAGTGTAGAATAAAAGTAAATAATCTCTAATTGAACTTTATGAATTTTTCGTGTGATGGTTAAGAAGTATCAAGTGTCCATGCAAGATACTTTATCTGGCTCCGTCTCGTATTGCAAACGGCAAACCTTTCGTGGTCCTACGGGGAAGGATTTACGCAAGTGTGCAGTAGGCAACATCACCCCAATTATGCAATGTAATTACATATGTAATTAATTGAAATGTTTACATTTTAAATATAAAGAATTCGGAAATTTCCAAAAAATATTCGAGTGTTGTCTGTATCCGATATGTCAGGCCCATCTCTCATCACCTGGCCTTTTCATTGTGGGGGTCGTATATAATACCCGAATTATTATAACCAATTATAATAATGCTAGTATTACATAAAACAAATTCTACAAAATAAATGTTTGTAAACATTTCATGTTTGTACTGTACAATGATCCAGACAAATAAATTAAACAACAGACGATGCACACTTTATTCTTTATACATTAATTTTCTCGAAATATTCTGCATTCTAAGTGTCTTTAATTTAGCATTAATGCTAATTATAGAAGGTTGTATATGCAGCAATTGGGTACTGATACTTCCAGTCGATAAAAGAATTACTCTTTCCTGCGCTCTAATAATTAATATTTATGTTACGTTATTATTTGTTTCAATTAAAGGAAAGAAATAGGACTTTCCCAAGTGGCATTCTATTCTGCCTCTATGACAGAATGATCTGATTCAATCGTTACTCCTAAAATATTATGTGCCAATCTTTCGACATTTTCAAATCTAATTAACGCATTGAAATTACTGAGTTATTTCTCCACGCAACTCAAAGGATAACGATTTGATTGATGAACGTACAGCAAAACACACAACGATAGTTCCAATCTTTGCCATCGTTGGGCATGTTAAAAGACCCTCTTTGTTTTCATAAAGTAAAAATATAACACGTGTATTTTATTTTTGATTATTTTCTCTATTTCTATCTCACTAACATTACTGTAACTTTCAATAATAATAACAATAATAATCTTGAAGTTTATTTAATTTCCATAGGTGATAAGTGCACTCTGTTCATTTCTTCCACGTTAATGGAAATTGCAAGTGAAAAACAGAAGATTTGTAACATTAAATTCAAGAGAAATGAAACCTTTGATGCTATGTTTGAAATGTTTAACATGTTAACACAATGAACGAGATAAAAACACGTAACTGCAATAACACAGCTTTAGTTCTATCAACGTTTGTACACATTTTGTACTGTATATTTGAATTCTTTGTGATATGTAAACTTGTGTAAGATATAAAATATATTAAGTTCGTGTCATATTCTTTCTCATTTACTCAGAATCATTCACCACGTTCAGCAAACTGAACGATACTAATTGAGATGTAGTGAAGTACGAGTTAAAGCGATCTTACTTGCTTAATTTATAATTAATTTGGAACACAATTATATTTAAACTAAATAAATTTATTAAACTTTGTACTAATTAACAAATGTAAAAATATATTAGCTACAAACATTCATGATTATTATTTCTTTTTAGATCTCAAAATTAAAGCAATTAATCCCATCAAATGAAAAGCAATATATAATATAAACAGGCAGATAAAGTTCCATTCATTTTCGTCCTGTAAATATTTTAAATTATGTATTAATAAAACACAATAGCTTAAATATAACTCATTCGACTGATGCCGTATTGCTTCGAACTTATGGACACATTCCTCTATTAAAGTTTGCGTGTACGTGTGTGTGAGAGAGGGCACGATTTTGTTCACTCCCATTCTAAGCTTAATAACTCCTGTGTTATTTGTCGAAAATTTCTGAAATTTTTCGGGGAGATTTCTTTATTAGAGTCATTGATGCTATTAAATTTTTGTGGTTAAAGGTCGAGGGGATGGAGAGATAAAGGGGATCGGACAAGTCGATACAATACGACATGTATTTATCAACGTAAAACGTTACTCACTCTACTGAAACCAAGTTCTTCAATTACTTCGACACCTTCTCTAACACAAGGAATATCTTTCCTTGAGGAACAAGCTAAAAATGAAAGAATTTTATAACTAAATTATTATGAAATAACGTATAGACATTTAAAAAATTTCTATCTAATGAATCGTGTGCATAAATTTTTATAAATATCCCTTAATTTAAAAGCTTCAAATACAATTTATTACATATATTTGTGAAGAAGAGCTAGCGAATTTCTCATGAGATAAAAATGATTCTAAAACTATACTAGACATTTGAATACGGCCGAGATCAAGTTTACAATTAGAATCGCATAAATTTCTAATGGAAATTGATGGCCAGAATACAAAATTCTACTTGACTTATGCTGTATTGTTGAAGAATGTTTGTTAAGTATCAATGGTAGTGGTAGTAGGGATTTTTCTACCGGCCAGGAGAAAACTTAGAGGGTCTGTAGTGTTCTTACCCTATAAATTAATAAGATATCAACTGATAGATTTCTTGTATAAAGAGAACAAACAAATACTCACGAACCCCGTATCTGAGAACCCTTAATTGTACAGTATGCATTGTAAATAACATTTATCACTAGTTCAGATACTTTCGAACTCTAATGTACAGACAATATCTATAATTTTGATTGTTTCGTACTCCTCAATTTAACGCCATATTCCATTTAGTTACAGAAAACAAACAAATGATGGCTCTAAATGGACATTTCGTATTTTTTTAAAATAGTTTATACGTAATTTTAAGGTATTATACAATAAATACTTACTAATGTTATGAACATTTTCCCATTGCACTACCATTAACGCTTCGTTAGAATATCGAAACCAGGATAAGTACTGCAACCACGATATGTATTTTGATAAAGTTCTAAAAATAAAATTGATTTAATGAAATTTTATATTATATTATATTATTTAATTTGATATATTTTACTTTAAATTGATAAAAATTCCTCCTGTGATCATTAAAACTACATCAATTGGCACGAGAATTGTCATGGCTAAAGTTGGTGAAGCGCAAGCAGCCGAAAAGAAAAATCCTAAAACGAATAATTAACGAAAATAATCAAGTTAATAGTAATATATTTTTTAAAATTAAAAAAATATATATATAAAATTGCAATTATAAATACCGCATGCGCTTGCTGTGTTTGCAGTTAAAACAATGATAAGCATGGTTAAGAAGAATCGATCTAAATCACTATTTAATCCTGTAAATATAATTAATTAAATGGTTATTCTGAAAGATATAAGTTTTATAATATTTAAATATTTTAAATATGAAATACAGCTCTTAATATTACATTTATTTAATCTAAAATATATGCTCTCCACCTCAAATTAATAGTATCTTGCCCCTGTACATCATACTCTTCCTGTTAGCAATTGAGTCGCGCCAGTCAACTATTAACTCCTTTAAGGGGAATAGTTTTGAATTGAAATAACGTGACTTTGTATTGGAAGTTTGTATATGGTCGGGCCTTCTTTCTGTCCCAAAGGTTTCTATATCTTGTCTGGTTTTCCATTTATCTTACTGTATTCTCGAGATTAAGAAAAGACAGATGGAGCAGAATGAATGGGAGAAAAACCGCTCCCGAAAGGAGTAAAGTATCTTTTAAACACTTCACCTGCAGTCACTTTGCCATCATACAGTAATTATGTATACATAACTACTATATGTTATACTGTAATTACATAANCACTCTGTCCTATACGGAGCCTCACAGAAAGAAATTAAGGAGGTGACATCGGGAGATCTTTGTGTTCGATAAAGAAAAGTGGGACAACATATGCTTGGAGGTCGGTGCGGCAGTCACTTTGCCATCATACAGTAATTATGTATACATAACTACTATATGTTATACTGTAATTACATAACTTTCCTCTTAAATACTCAATTTTCTTACCTATCATCCAATAAGATATAACTGTGAATAAAACCGGCTCGAAAATGAAACCTGGAATCTAAACAACGTTAGAATTAATATTTAAAATTATAAAAATGATTGGAATTTTAATCATTTTAATAGAAACTTACTAAAGATATTATCTTGGATAAGTAATATGCATCTACTCGATATATACCATTTTGATTTTCACGAAGAAATACTGGAAGCTCTTGAGGAAATGTCTAAAATTGGAATTAATTTAAAGTAAAATACATTCTTAAACGTTACAAAATAAATTAAATTAACATACCTGAAGCACCCCGTACATACTTGGAAACGTATTTTCTGTAATGAAAATAAATATTGCACCATTTACAGCCATGATTCCTGCCTGGTTGATTTTTATTTGAAAGTAAATAGAACCAATCATCAAGGCTAGAAACTGTAGCGTATAAAAAAGTATAACAAATCTAATTAATTAAACGATTTTTGTTAATTAATTATATTTCTTAAAATGTATAACATACAATTTTCTGAAACGTTCTTATAGTCATTATTGAAGGATTTCGAAATGCTTCGAGTAAAGCTCTCCATAATAGCATATAGAACTGTACAAACCACGACGCTTTCTTTCTGAAATTACAATATATAAATTCAATTTTAGTTCAGAATTATTTAAATATTTTTATAATTTTCTTACTTACGACTTCACTTTATGGTATACTTCTGATAACTGAAATAAAATGCAAGTGTTTACAAGCATCTACGATCTTCTGTATGTAAAAAAAGATACTGTACCTACCTCGTAACCACAGTGTTGATTCCATTCTTCATTTTTTCCAAACGAAGAAGCATCGTACCAATTGCAAATTTTCTATTTAAAAATATATTTAGGAATTATTATTTAGGAATTTAATTAATTAAAAAATCAAAATCTACTTTCCTTACTAACATTAATTATCTGTTTATCCCTTTCTTCGAAACCTGGCTGAATAGCTAAAACTTGAATATAATAATCAGCGGGATTAAAAGTAAGAGGACATATATAACCCAAACTGAAAATAATTTATAAATTGTATTTATTTCTATTATTTTTATATTAAAAAAGAGAAAAATTTAAAAAGATTATACCTAGAGAAAAATTCGAGAGCTTCGTAGGACGGTCCTAAATATGCTGTTCTACCTTCAGCTATAAGTAATAATCTAAAGAAAAATTATTTTAGTAATAAATTAAACTATAAAATATAAAGATTCTTTAAATTTTCTATGTTATTATTATTATAAAATGGCAAAAAAAAGGTTTATTTTGAAGGTAGAAACGAGTTGTATAATAAATTTTAAATGCTAAAAATGAATAAAACCTCTATCATGTCCGACCAACTCGACCTCCCCTCTATCTCATCACCCCTCAGCCTTTAATCACCAAAATTTAATAACTTAAATCTCCCTAATACATAAAATTCCTTGCAAAATTTCAGAAATTTTTGACAAAAAGTACAGGAGTTATTAAGCTTCAAAGAGGGTGAACAAAGTCATTCTCCATGCACACACATACACTAATACAGAAAAATTCCCGACTGTTTTGCATACGTTTCAAGATCCCGTGTGTTCCTCATTAATATTTCAGTAACGTCAATCGATAACATCGATCCTGATTTATTGCTCATTTGCCATCTTGGATATGGTATTGAATAATAATGATTTTTCTAAAATTTTACTGAATGAAATAATTATATACTTAAAACATTTATACGTCTACATAAAACAACGTTCTAACTTATTGTTAAAATCAGGAGTGGATTTAGGGAGGGCGTTCACCCCAAGACATCTTTTTAATTTATAGAGATTCAACTACTAATTACTTATTGACTCGTTTAATTAGAAGCAGTACCCTAGATTGTCTCTCATCCAGGTGTTAATTGGACTACTCTTTATTATTAATCGGTGTTCTGATAAAAACCGGTGTTTAAAAACATGGCACGTGTATCACAAGTTTTTACTGTGATACATACACTATCACTTTACTGGTAGTGATATTCGTTTCTAATTTAGGGACTAGTTAACTAGGCATATAACAGATACATAGAAAAAAACAATTAATTATACAATGTTTATTAATTCAAAAAGAATTTTTCTAAGTGAACATCAAAGGAGCCACATCTTCTCTTCTTGTCGCTCTCAGAATATCAAACATGCACTCGATTTCTCTCTAAACATCTCATTTCAATTTCTAGATTATCCTTATTGCGTGCACTCTGTCCTATACGGAGCCTCACAGAAAGAAATTAAGGAGGTGACATCGGGAGATCTTTGTGTTCGATAAAGAAAAGTGGGACAACATACGCTTGGAGGTCGGTACGAACCAGACATTGAATGTCGGGCTATCTTGCTCGTATTTTTCGGAAAACACGAGTGTTTCCTGATCTCCAAATACGACAATTACCGTGTAATAACATTTTATAAAAAGAAATACAACTTTCTAACCTATCGAACATTCGAAAGACTTCAGAAGACGGTTGATGGATGGTGCAGATAACGATCTTCCCTTTAGAAGCCATTTCATATAATATACTGACTACGTTGTGTGCCATAAATGAATCGAGACCAGTAGTTGGCTCGTCACAGAACAGTAATGCTGGGTCTGTTAAGATCTAAAATATATCGATTTATTTAGATTTAACTTAAATAAATATCGTTATTAAATATAATATAAATTGTTTTACTTCAGTTGCGAAGGTTAAACGTTTCCTTTCGCCTCCGGATAAACTTTTCTTGAATCCAGGTTGTCCTATAATTGTATTCTCGCAATTTTTAAGTCCTAACTAAATACATAAACTTCCATTTAAAAACTGGATATAAATATTAGAAGTTTATAACACAGAAATTCACCTCTTTTAAAATTTCTTCAATTCTCTGTAATCGTTCTTTCCTGGTTGTTCTATGATCCATTCGTAATTTTGCCTAAAAAAATTTTAATTATAATATAATACGGAATTTATATCTGATAGAAAATTATGTTATTTAATTAATAAATAAATAAACAACTATTTTATATATATATCCTACCTGAAAAATTAAATGTTCTCTGACGGTTAAACCTGGTAGAAACAAGTCATCTTGCTGCACGTAAGCCGAAATTGCCCTTATGTAGCTAAGAAGTAATAATACAAATTATATTAATGTTTGCCTAATAAAGTAATTTATTTATGAGAGGAAAAAGTATGGGTTTTAGCCTATATTCGACTACAATTAAGAGCAGAGTTTGATCCTTCCAAACATATTAGACTGTGATAAGGAAGATGGAGATGAGTGGGAAGAGGATGAGGGATGGGATGAAATGTTAGAAAAATGATATTTTAAACCATGCTACTGACTACGAGTCGTAAATGTAATTCAATTATTCTATCGTATTTCTTAATACTTACTTTCTATGAGCGTGTCCATTCACCGTAATTTTACCACTGACTGATAAACCCTTGCAATTTCTATCTACTAAACAATTGAGAAAAGTCGATTTTCCTGCTCCACTGCATTAAAAAAAAATACATCTTGTAACAAGAATTTACTCAATAAAGACCTTTTTTTTAACATTTAAAATTTACCTTCCTCCCATAACAGCCAACAGCATACCAGAATTAACACTTCCTGACACTAAAATAAAACAATAAGGTATAGTAAAACCTATCTAAATTGTATAGTAAAGTTTCCATAAAACAAATAAGTAAAATTATTAACAAATAATTTTATGGGGTAGTCCAAAAGTAAGTTAACCGGCTAGACTTATGAATTTGTATACGTTAAACCGTAGTAATTTACACAATAGACAAGATTTTGAATAATTATAATGATTAACTGACTTTTGGGCCGTCCTACGGTACATAAATCATCTCAAAGTAGGTTTGTATACTATAAAGAAAGTTAATAATGAAGTCTTTAAGTGGGATATGAATTAATAGACTTTAAAGTATTTAAATGAACTGAATAATAATTAAAAAAACGTAATTTTCATTGATCTGTTGGATTATTATGCAATAAATTCTTATTTAAAACTAGGACAAGCTTCTACTAATGCCAGTTAATATCTCAAATTCCTTCACGTAGAATGATACTTAACATCAGTCTAGATGATGGATGAGAATTTAATTAACCTAAGAGCATTTGATACGATAAGTTGACTTACTATTATTAAGAATCTTTCGATTTTCGGGATTATCCTTATCATTCTTCAATAAGGATTTATCCTTTATTTCCACATTCAAATTCTCCCACGTTAAATTGATTCCGGCTGTCTGCTCCTCCATCCAACTCTGAAAGCTTCTGCATCTTTTTTCTAATTCTGTAGACTAAAAAACAATAAATAAATAAATTATAAGTTATTTTAACTATAAAAAATAAATTTAATTTTACATATTAATTAAAAAATTCGACATTTATATTCAAGAACTGTTTCGACTTTTTATTATTGTAATTTTTCCCTAATTTTTATTCAACTGTGGTTACAATGTTTATAGCTGGAACGACCATTAAACGATGGAAGAATGTTATATGAGGCTTTAAAATGTACGTTTTCGTGTAATTAAATATGTTAGGAGGGATTTTTTCCTCTTTATCTTCTTGTATTCCTGTAGCTAAAACGATAAAATTTCTCCTCCTATTTAAATTAAATCCAGTAAAAAATTATTCTCGAGAAACATAATATTATAAGCATGACAAGTCAATGAATAAAAATGTAAATTATTATTTTAACCCATTTAATAAGACATTAAGTGATTATTACATACATTTTTTTGTCATCCTGTATGATAAATAACGTTAAAAATTAGCATATATAAAGATATATTTACTTGAATTACGTTTAATGTAATATATATATATATCGAGTTATGTATGACTTTTGTAATCATATCCNCATTTAATAAGACATTAAGTGATTATTACATACATTTTTTTGTCATCCTGTATGATAAATAACGTTAAAAATTAGCATATATAAAGATATATTTACTTGAATTACGTTTAATGTAATATATATATATATCGAGTTATGTATGACTTTTGTGATCATATCCCTTTAATCCCTCGTGGTATTCTGCCTCAAAACTATTAAAATTTGTTAATTTAAATAGTTTTTAATTAGAATATCTTCGTAAACTTGCTTTTATTTATATAAAAAGAATAAAAATCTGGTCCCCAAGAGTAAAATTCCTAAGTCTTTTTTATAATAAAGATCTAGCAATCATCTCAATTAAAAATATTTATGCAACATCTTGGAAGGAACGAATGATGAACGTAGGTGATGTTTAGCAAAGTAGAAGGACAGCAATTCTAAACCTGTTCAACCAAGAAAAGCAAGTAGACGTGAACTGAATATATTAATTTTTAAAAGATTAAGTTACCATTCAGGTGTTGAAGTTCTATATATTTTGTTAAATTAATACGCGGCCATTTTTTATCGAGGACATATTTAATGACACAAAGGTGATAATATTTTTTTAATTTAAAAATATATCCATGTTTCTCTAAAGATTATTATTTTTTTTAATGGCAAGCATTTTTGTATGTTTTATCTCTTAATTTATGCTAAAATGGAATGTTTTAATTGCTTAAATTTTGTAAAATATGATAGAAAATTGAACCTTATACCCTATAAAAATAAAGGAAATAGATATACATACTCTGCATTCAATCGAAAAAACAAAATTTTCTCATGATTTATAGGTAAAAAGATAAGAAGGAAAGATAAGATATCCTTAAAAGAATAGGAAGAATATAAATAAATAGACTAATGAAAGCTTAGATATACTTGTATATACAAAAGAAAGATGGGATATCCCTAAAGAAACAAGCATACAAGACAGACGAGTAAAAGGAATAAGATTTCCCAAATAAATTCGAAATTGTCGCCATTTTTTCAATACTGAAAGTGTTTTTCGATGGATTTCAATATATCTAACAGATGGAATCAAGTAATATTTAACAGGATCAATAAGAAAGATGATAAAACTACAGTCGTATTATCTGTGTTTATGAAATATAATATAATACTAAGAAGACATTTGTTAATTGCTATGAAGAACCTTAATCAATGGCAAAATTCGTACAAAATAATCTTTAAACAACGGCCATTTTTACGTCCAAATCAATGGCCGTTAATCAGAGGTTTAAATGCATCATTTTAAAAGAAATAAAATGCAATTATGTTTAAAAAAATGATGGTAGCTTGAAACCTCCAAAGCTCCATCTTATATTACACCATAAGAATTTAAAAATGTAAAGAATTTACCGTATAAAGTAAAGAATTTTAAGTTTATTTATTCATTTCTAAGTCTTAATAATGTTATAGTATTAGTAGGATGGCAGCTAAGATAAGAATAAAAGTATAAAATATAATTTAAGATGTAGGTCTTGAACTCTTTTATCTAAAGATACCTCTTTTTTTTTAAGTTATTACACCGACTTTCGTTCAGCAATTTTAGCTGTGTTTTTCAAAAGACGTGACGTGTTTATCAAGACAATATACCTTAGAAAACAAGAGAAAGGAATGTTGCTGTAGTTTTTTTCTATTTATTTCACCGCATATCAATTAAAAAGGCGTTCACGTGTATTTTATTAAATGATAAGATACAGAAAAATGTAGATATTCACCTTAAACTTTTAGTTTTTAGGCTTACAATTAAACTAAATAAGTGAAATTTGGTTTAGGAAAAATGAAAATTTAGTGTTTTACTTGTGTTCAATAGGTCGAATTTTACATTTTAAAAAAGAATTTTATTAAAATTTTATATGATAAAGATTAAAATAAGACTCTAAACTAAAATATATGACTCAATATACTAGAAATATATTTAAGAAAGTGTATTATTTAAAATAGAAGATGGTTCATAAGTCATATAGTCTTAATTCATCTACATATTTCGCTGCATTTTTGTTGTATTCCTACACTTGTTTTATGCTTTTTTTATTCGAATCAATATTTACAGTTTCTTTCAGTAATAATAAGAAAATCTAGTAAACAGTAAAGAAATTAGAACGATAGAAAATGATGCAACGGTACTACATTAAAGTATTTTGATGTTATCACTGGAAAAAAATCGATTTAGAGAGCTAAAGGAATATAAACCCGAGTTGAGGACCTAAAAATTAGGCTCGTCCTTGAATTGTGTAATCCCCTTGAGGCAAGTATGAAAGGAAATCCGTCAAAAATAACGTGACCTTGTCCACCTTGCTAGAACTAAATAATTATTTTTTAAATGATCGGTTTATAGAATATTATCCACTTTGCAGGATAAAAAAATAGGATAAACCTAATAATATACATAATTAACATAAGACAGAATATAGAGAAGAAATAAACTAATTGAAGTTTTGGAGCAGTTATAATACTTAGAGGGATGAGTTGGAGATCTTTCCCTAAACCAGGAGAAAATTGGAGGATTTAATGCTTCTTACCAACATAAAATTAATATTGTTTTTACGAGCATAAAACAAAATCGTAAAGAAACATTTTATATATTTCGTTTGTTCAAAAAACAAGACGATAAAAGGTGCTGTAAAAGTGCCCTGGGGTCCCATACAAGTTCTCAACTGTCCTGTCTTTATATGAGACATTATAACTACCTAATTACTTGTGAACCACTCCTATAAAGTGGTCCACAAGTATGTATAAAGTGAATCAGAAGCAATAGGAAAGTTATCTCACCCTGTAGTTTAGAAGTTTAAAATCTTTATCTATTAGTCCTTATTTCTATTAATCTATATTCTATTATTGCTTATTTTTATATAAAATTCTTTAATAATCATACAAATAAAGCTATTAAACTGAAGATAGTAGCTTCAGAATTTGCTTTTAAATAATGTTTTCGTAAGTTATAATTTCGTTTTAATATTAAATTGTAGGAAAGAAGTTATAGCTCCTATAGGAAAGAGTGTATTTCTTATGTAACAATTTTGCTTTACAATTGTAATTCACGTATAAGAATTATAATACATTATAACCTGTAAAACTAGTAAAAGTAAATGTATTTGCTATTAGTTTTAGCATTAAAATTTTGTACAATTTATAAAAGAAATTTCATTCTTACCTGACTACTTAGAAGATAAGAATGTTGCGAAGTTGAACTCCCGACTAACGACGATAATTCATCTATATCTTCACCATAAGGCATCTTGACGACAAGAAGAGCCTTTCTATAAAATTATATAACATTTTTTATTTAATTCAGTAAAATGTATGCATGCCAAAGCTTATTGGTTAAGGAAAGAAAACCAATCGTAGAAGAGCAGGAGGAGTTTAGGAGGTTAGTTCGTTAAAAGAATCTTATCGTTTGAAGGCTACTGGATCAAGGGACTAATAATAAAGGTTTGTATACATTAAATAAATGAAATTTCCTATAGAAATACTCCAAACTGGAGATTTCTATTACTCAAATTAAACTTCATAAATTGTAATTTTTTTGTCGACCCCCTATAACACTGTTGATAATTCCGTTTTATATGAATTCCATATTGTACGAGTCACTTAGATTTTACAAATACGTGTGCCAGGCTGTAAACGGTTCATGTATTAATAAAATCTAAGTGATTCGTACAACGTGGAATTCATATAAAACGGAATTATCAACGGTGTTATAGAGGGGTCGACTTGTATTTTGTTAAATTATTTAAAAAAAAATAATTATAATAATGTATAAATTAATAAAGTTAACCAGAAGGAAGTTAATTTTATGATTTTATAAAGAATTTTTTTAACGAATACATGAATTTTAATAGGATTAAATGGTAATTTTTGGATTCAGTATGTGTGATTTGAGCAATTAAAATATTTTTTATTTCAAGTATGGAATGACTATAACCTGTTTGATAAATTACTTCCTTGCCATTTATGATAATTACAGTAAAAAAATGTAAACATATCTTTAAAAATTTCATATAATATAGTAATTTGAATCATATTTCTATAATAGAGTCATCATTGTAAACAATTCTCACTAAATTTATCTATTTGAAGTATTAAACTCCATTATTCTTGATACTTTATATACAACATTTTATGTATTATATCTTTTGTATATTTTAAACAAGTTAACAGTAAAAGAAAAGGAGTATAATTGTGGCTTATAGAACTGGAAATTACAACTGTTATATATAATAAAACTGTTAGAATTAAGCTTATATTGTAAGCTGTTTATTGTGTATTTTCTACGACCACACAATATAATAAAATTCTCCATGCGTGATGTGAAAATCGATGAATAATCAAGCGTTATCTTTAATTCGATTTGTCAGCTTGGATCGTGGGACTTTCTACAACTGTTTTGACCTACCCTACAAGATTTTATCTCAAGTAAACATATCAAATGTCGCCCTTTTTTATACTGTAATGGATTTAATTCCCTCGTCTTAATTCACTATACAATTTCTATAATTTAATGTAAAATTTTATATTATTAACTATTAAAAAATGGGGGTGGAAAGTTGAATTTTAAAGGTAGAACTGAGTTTTATAACAAAATATGTTAAATTTTAAATGCTGATAACGAGTAAAATCTTTATTAATTCCGACCCCACTCGAGATGTGATACATGATCCCCCTCTAACTCCCCAACCCCTCGACCTTTAACCACTATAATTTAACAGCATCAATCCTCCTAATACACAAACTTCCCTGCAAAATTACAGAAATTTTCGACAAAAATTACAAGAGTTATTAAGTTTTTTAGTGGGTAATAAAATCATACCACCCCCTACACACACTAATATCCATACATACAGAAGAAACTGCCCAACTTTATTTGCATTTCTCGACATTTCAATGTCTCCTGAGTCCAAAAAAAATAAAAATTTTGGGTCATTTCTGATACTTTCTCTCTGTTATACAGTATAAAACAACCGGGAAAGTATAAAAACTTTATGAAAATAACCTTATAAAGTTGTATAAATATTAATCTAAAAACAATTACTGGCGAATAGATATAAAAAAATAATAGAAACAGTAGAATGTATTGTTAATTAGTGAAGAAACACAACGTTTTGGCGCCACATATTACCTGTTTTACCAGATTTTTATATCCTTGCTCGAGGTCACCTTTAAGGATTTAAAATTAGTAAAATATACATTACTTTCTTTTTATTTCTTATATAATAATATAATCGCTGAGACTTTATAAAGATGTCAAATATTAAATACTAATTATATAGGGCCAAGTTTCTTAGTGTTTTTATAAGAAAAATTGCTGTTTTTAAACTCAACTTAGACGATAATCGTGATGAGGAAACTTATACTCCTTTCGTCTAATAAATATTTCATATATAAAATTTCGAATTCAAATCATACCAAGCTCATTTTCTGCAACTCTATAATTTTCTACCATTATCGAGTACATTAGAAAGGCACACAATGTTGAAAATAATGAAAAAAAAAACATCCCCTTTCGCATCGCATACTTTCCCTCTGTTATATATTAGTGCGATTTTGTTTACTCATATTAAAGCATAATAACTCTTTTGCTTTTTGTTGAAAATTTCTGAAATTTTGCAGGGAGATTTGAGTATTAGGAGGATTGATGCAACTAAATTTTGGAGGTTAAAGATAGAAGGGGTGGGGAGAGAGAGAGAGAGGAAATCACGTGTCGTATCTCGAGTGGGGTCGAACTTAACGACGATTTTATTGGTTATTATCATTTACAATTTTCTATAAAACTCGTCTCTACCATCAAAATTAATCTTTTTACCATTTTATCATAATAGATGGCGTTACACACAATTTTAACTTTTTTCCGGGAAGTTGTTGAGTCTTTTGTTTAACAATTCCTATATTTTATCTTATAATGTGATAAATATTATCTTAACAAACTATTTTACAATGTTCTTGCTGTGAAATTAAAATTACGGCCACCAAGTAGTCATGATTTATCTACATAAACCTCAACGTGTTGTTAATTACACCAGCATCCACCTCTCAATCGAAAATGGTGTCTTATAGCTTGAGGCAATACCAAATACCCGAAGAAAGGTTTATAATGATATACTGTAGGAATAACTGTGACCCGTCATTCATTATCCGTGATACTTTAATGTATAATAATAATATTTCATTAATGTCATGTAAAAATTCTTCCATAACCAATAAGATAATATTCATACATGTAATTTCAATGTTATGTATTTAATTTTGTTTAGATTATATGTCAAATAATTAAATAAAAATTTTACTTTATCTAGATTATTCAAATGTGAAAAATGATCTTAGGTGCAATTTTTAAAGATATAAAAACGATTCGATGTTAATTTCTTTTATATTTTCACAGTATTAAATATGTTTAAAGGTTAGATTCTTAGGTTATAAAGGTCAGAAAGGTACTATTGGATTAGATTCTTAGATTAGAAAGGTACGATAGGATTAGATTCTTAGGTTAGAAAGGTACGATAGAAAGGTACTATTGGATTAGATTCTTAGATTAGAAAGGTACGATAGGATTAGATTCTTAGGTTAGAAAGGTACGATAGGATTAGATTCTTAGGTTAGAAAGGTACGATAGAATTAGATTCTTAGGTTAGAAAGGTACGATAGGATTAGATTCTTAGGTTAGAAAGGTTAGAAAGGTACCATTAGATTAGATTCTTAGGTTAGAAAAGTTAAAAAGGTACCATTCGATTAGATTCTTAGGTTAGAAAGGTACCATTGGATTAGATTCTTAGGTTATAAAGATTAGAAAGATACCATTCGATTAGATTCTTGGGTTACAGAGGTTAGAAAGGTTAGGTTAGGTTAGGTTAGGTTAGGTTAGATACCATTCGATTAGATTCTTAGGTTAGAAAAGATAGAAAAATACCATTGGCTTCGATTCTTCGGTTAGAAAGATATTAGACTATATTCGTAGGTTAGAAATATTTTTTTCCCTTCGCGAACAGTTTTGGTTTGAGAGATCTTAGGCCCCTTCCCGCTCAGAGAGCACTAAAGGGCCAGCACGTGTAAAGTGGAAAGTGTGTTTGTCCCATAGAGGGCTCATAATGTATTAAACTAGTCCGTTGTTAGAACTCATAAGTATTACGTGATGTTTGGAGTCTGTACTTGTTATTTAAATTTAAGGCCGAAAGGGTGTATGTATATGGTAACTGTTAGTAATTGTTAAGGTTAGTAAGGTGGTTATCACCAGGTGCTAGAGAGGTAGCAGTAATGGTGACTAAGAGTAATGATCCTCCAGCTAAGGTTGAGATGTACTAGGAACAAACATAATTTTTAAATATACTGTATAAGGTTTGATGGTTCAATAGACTAAAATAAAAAATTTTTTTACAATGTTGATTATTTAGTAATTTAGAATTTAGTACAGTTTAATAAAATTCAGTTGTATGAGTTGGGTTTAGGATTTGACTAGGTACTTAAAATTTTTTATTAATAAGTTTATTTGACTAGGCGAAGGAGGGGAGCCAGTGCCAGAGGACTAGACCCCATCCAGCAACCATTGAGATTTAAGATTTTGGAGGAGAATGAATTTAACTTAGAACGGCCAGAGCTGGAGGATGCATGAGATAATGACAAGACAAGATAATCAAAGGAAGATAGAAAAGTTATAGTGTGTTAGTGACTAACATAGCCTAACCTGATTTTTCTGACTTGTCAAGAGCCACTGTGGAAAAGAAAGTAGCAGTGGTAAAGCCATAGATGGTCTAGGCCAACAAATTTAGAATAAATATTAAAAGTTTTGAAATGGGAGTCTGGATTGGTGAGCAAGTCAACAAGCCAGTTGAGTGCCTACTGGGAGGACTTTGAGGGGGAGCTTGACCCCATTTGGAATTAATGATGTAAAGGAAACCCAGTAAAACTTCACATGTCAAGCTAGGCCAAAAGGGCCAGACAAAGCAAAGACCAAAATAAAAGGAGCCAATTATTAGAAAACCAAATATGGTAAGTGCTGGACACGACCACCATGAACGGCAAAGTTTAGAGGTGATTTTTAGACTTGAGATTTGAGAGTGGCTTTAATGCTAATGGTAAAAGGTTGAAATTAAAAAGTGAAGCCAGTTTCACCTGGCTGAGGACTGACTGAGGAATCCTACAGGGCCAGATGTAGAGGAAGAGTGACACTCAAAAGAATTAGGCAAAAGCAGCAGGGATAGGTGCAGCGGCCCGCTAACGCCACGCCAAAGAGGCGCCCACGGGTGGAGAACGGCCACGGGAGGCAAGAGGTTAATTAATTAACACTATAAAATTCGTGGTTTAAATCCTGCATATCACGAATAATATGTATATATATTTGAAAAGGATTCGATGAATGAAGAAGGTTGGAAACCCCTGTGTTAAGTAGATCTTTTCTATGCAAACTGTGTATGTATTAATACTAGTTCATCTGATTTATTTATTAATTTTTAATTATATGAGCAATACAGAAGAGGGTCGATAAAGATCGAGGAAACATTGAAAATGTCGAAATTAAATAAGATTGAGGGTTTACTACCCTACTTTACTCACTATTCTAGGTTATCACTACGAAACTACATTATAAACATCTATAATACTATACTATCATCAAGTATATCCTTTATAATATATTATTTTGTAATTTCTTACTGTTTTAGATTATATGTTTTGATACAAAACTAGAAAACAACATTAATCAATGTATTTAATTATAAAGAATGAGAAATAATTCTAGTTCAAGAAATTAATGGCAATTTTACGATAGATTTATTCCACCCCTTTAATAACCATTAACTAAAAAAATAACTTATGATAAGAGAAATTTAATTCCCTTATTTATGTACCAGGATTAAGTTTCTCTTACTGAATAAACGTGTATTTTATAAAAGTATGACCTACACACACTTAATTTTCTTATTTTTGTGTACAGTTTTAGTCTATAAATACCCATTAAGTCCTATAACATCGTAAAATTTTAAGATATAAAAAAGACAATTTAAAATATATCTGGAACCACGAAAAAGTAATTTCTTATTTCAATTTTACAGTTTCAAATCTTATATATTTTTTTTAGAAGAGAAAAGGGAATATGCCGCTGATAGTAGACGATAAAGTTAACAAGTATAGAATATAAATGAATTCACTTGCTAGTTCAGAAATTCTATACTTTAATGCCTGAAGGAACGTAAAATTACTCACCTGTTAAGTGTAGTTTGACTCAAAATCTGATACAATAAGTTTCCATTTGTTAACTTCTTAAAGATGATTATAAATTCTAATTAATGTCATTGTTCTCATCTAAAAATTTAAATATAAATAAATATTTTATTGTAATTATAACAATATTTAAATTGTATGTTATGATAATCAGTTCTAGTTACTAAATTAGATGTAAGTTATAACTTCTCAACCGTTAGATCGCGAACCATAAACTTTGTGAGAGTTAAATTAAGGTTATCTATAGGTTGAGGAAGTTTGTTAATTTAATAACACAACAGAATTATTTTGTTAGTGTGTTTAAACATTAGCTGGTTAAGAAAGAGTAGTTTTGTTAAATAGCTTTTAACACGCAATTTATGAATCGATAAACTTCAGTCGTTCGAAGTATTTCCTCTCATAATTACGATGTAAAACAGGACACTGTATTAGAAGTACTGTTGATAAATAAACGTGGCATTATATGAGTGGGGGTTATTAATATATGATAGGCACTGTTAGCATATAAAAAAGGGTATTAAGTGAATGGCACTGATAATGGCAGGAAAGGCAATTCTGAATGATAGCATTGTATGAAATGTTAATGTATAAAACAAGGTACTGTTAAGGTAGGAAGCAAGCAGAATTCTTAGTACAGGAAACAGGGTAGTGTATACTTGATATTACTAACGTGTAAGCAAGAGGCAGAGAATTTTCATACAAGTTCGAAGCTTGAGAATCATTCTTCTTCAATGGCAAAACAGAGTAATTTATCATTAGAAAGATACGAGAGGGACTCGCGTGCATACATGCGTGAGATCTCATACCTGATAGCAAAACCTGTAATTAGATTCATATTTGAACCTTGATTATACAGAATAATAATTTGAGATCAGATGTTATGAGAGAGTAAATGTTTGATATCTACTACATTTTTTTTTTTTTTTTGCTTCTCTCTGAAGATTTTTCATGCTAACGTTGTATCTGAATAGGGTGTAGATAAGGGTGTTATAATCTAATTTAAGAAATATACATTCGATTAGCCATGGTATAAAATTCCAAAAATTCATCTAATTTTGGTTAAAAAGTAATTTTCCCCTGTTTAAAATGTACTTCTAGATGCTTAAAAGCTAATTAATAATTTTATAAACCTACAAATGATCAGCAGAATATAATATAAAATAGCTTGACAAGGATTGATGACTCGCATTTATCCATTCTTAATTTTTGTATTTGAATTGTAATGATTATTCTTGGTTAATTTAACTTCTACTAAGTAACTTCGGTAGATTTTTAGTTTTATTTTAAAATTTGAATCATTGCTGAAAGCCATATTGAAGGATAAAAGGTCAAACACTTCCTTTTGAGACACTAACATCGATACATACAGAAAAACTTCCAATTAAAAGCAATTAAGTTTTTCCCATATAAGGTTACATTTCACCTACGCTGATCGATCGCATTCTGATCGGATCGATCCACTGTTGGTGTAATTATGACCTGCTACATAGCCTAAAATGGACAATATATTAATTAATTAATCGATCAATTAAAAACAGATTAATTATGTAACAATCCTCTTATGCGTGCACGTTTTGATAACATATAAGAAATCGTTAATGTCATTGTTAACTTCCCCTGTCACTGAATTGATAAATTGTCGCCATTTGTCTTATTCCTACATCTCTATTTATCAAATAATGCCTTTTCTCTCATGTTACTGATATTCTTTCTGCTTCGTCTCTTCCTAAACACTGTTAACTCATCTTAAAATTCAAATTAATTAATTAAAACTGATGAAGTTTCCTTATATAATTATTATAAATTACTCACCAACGAACCTAATTTTTATATACAGACCCTCCTAATTTCATTGTAACGTTTTCTATTATTTATTATTCGTTTATATATTGAAATTTTAATTTTTCAGCTAAGAAACTCGATGATTTAACAATTGAAACATTCATAAATTAATTTATAAAATAGACAGGAAGAAAACGTTGTATAGATAATTTATTAATTTTATTTCGTAATTATTTACTAATAAATGAGGGAAAAAAACTGTATTTTTTCTAAGAATCTTCGTCTTTAAAAACAATTTTATCTCTTTTTCTTTTTCTTCTACAATTTGGACATATTACTTCTTCAGACATGTGATCTATAATGTGTGATTCCATCTCACTTTTATCATTTATCTTAGTGTTACATACTTTACACTGATAGTAATATTTTCTTGTACCTTCCTGATCATAGTAAGGAATTGCTTCAACTTGATCCTCATTTAACTGTTTATCCGTGAAGATTCTTTTACATTCTGTACATACCACAGGTAGGATTATCTCTGATTTCCTTCTAGGACACTTCAAAGCTTCGAGTTCTTCAACAGAATTCATTGGTTCCTTCTTAATTGAGACAGATTTAATGTAAAGTTCGTCGTAATCTTTAGAGTGGCATTCGGAACAGAAGACGTAAGTGGTAGTTAGGAAATTCATCATTTGGCATTCGGCAGTCGGTTGATGTTGGCCGATATTTTCACAAAACTGGCATCGTTTGAGATAAGCAGATTTATTTGATAGGGTAATATTTAGTAATTTCCTTCTCAAATTATCTTCCGGGCATAAATACTTTTTACACAATTGACAATTAACGCCCTTAAATGCCGTCATATCGACAGAACTGCGCTTCATATATAAATCTTCTTTATCGTAATCGCTCTTTTTTTCATCCTCCTCGTCACTAGTTATAGCTCTTGTGCATTGAAAACAGAATAAATCCTTATCCAGGAGATGTATAAGAATGAAATGCTTTTTGTATAAACTCACTTCGTCGAAAATTTCATTGCAAATTTTACATTTAAACGTTATTTCTTTCGATAAACTATACATTTCTTCGTCGAACTTAGTTTCTGCATCGGAAAATATCCTGTCACAACATCCGCAGTGAACAGGAATGACACTTATTTCGTTCAAGTTAAATTTTGTTTTTATTTCTTCAAGTTCAGCCGAAGAAAATGGCTTAGGTAAAACAATTGCTGGATTTTTAAAGAAACCGTTCGATGTTTTATATCTAAGAATAGAAATACCGGGTGATTGATATATCATAATTGTTTCTATCGCCTCGTCACTCGCTATTTCGAACTCCAATTTCTTCAACATTTCCGGTTTTATATATACTTGTGATAAACGTTGTTGCCACGGAAACGATCTTTTAGATATTCGAGGAGGTGGAACGGGTAATGATTTTCTACTTAACTGCATGTTTCTTATGGTCGTTGCCTCACTACATTTTAAATATTCTAACAATTCAGGCGAAAATTGTAGCGATTGTACTTTCTGTTCATTAGAATCTGAGTCTTCTTCTATATTAATTCATGTTTAATGATTAGTATTGTGTTATTAGTTTTGTTAATTAAATAAATTCGATGTATTCTTACCCTCACTTGTTATATTTGACGAACTTGGTTGTTGTTCTTTCGTTAGACTTTCCTTGCTACCTTTGCTATCCTATTTATTTAAAAAAAAAAAACTGGAAAAATTACAACTTTATAGCTATAAAATTATATGAGAAATTAAAATTACCTTTTCCATCTTCTAATTTTATTCCTGATTACACTTACAAATAAATCGTTAAGGCATATTTATCAATAAAGAATACTGAAACAAAGGAAAACGATTTTATATCTTAATTTGTTACGTTAATAAATCATTGTTTTAAATTAATTTTCTGGTATTTTTTTTCGAAATAAAGACGAAATTTAATGATTAAAATCCAAAAAAAACTTTATTGTCATAATTAATGAATTTACGACATGAAAATTTAAAGAACATTAATGTTTTTTATCACTAAAATTTAAGAATTTTGAGTACACAAATATACCACATCATAATTTAACATTGTCCATGGGAGGAATTCCTAAATATGAAGTTGAATTTAAACGTGAACTGTATCCTCGATTTCCGAAAACGTGAGGATTTAATGTAGAATTAAAGTGTCTAGCAGTATTATTAAAATCGTCGTAAGTGGTTCTATAAAAATTTGGTCTTCTAAGATTCAACCCCTTAGAGTTTATATAATCATTCCAATTTATATAACGACTGCTCTTATCTGTTACACCTGTTGGATATCTGTAAAATCCAGTAGAAGGTCTTCTATCTGATACGANTAAAAAAAAAAAACTGGAAAAATTACAACTTTATAGCTATAAAATTATATGAGAAATTAAAATTACCTTTTCCATCTTCTAATTTTATTCCTGATTACACTTACAAATAAATCGTTAAGGCATATTTATCAACAAAGAATACTGAAACAAAGGAAAACGATTTTATATCTTAATTTGTTACGTTAATAAATCATTGTTTTAAATTAATTTTCTGGTATTTTTTTTCGAAATAAAGACGAAATTTAATGATTAAAATCCAAAAAAAACTTTATTGTCATAATTAATGAATTTACGACATGAAAATTTAAAGAACATTAATGTTTTTTATCACTAAAATTTAAGAATTTTGAGTACACAAATATACCACATCATAATTTAACATTGTCCATAGGAGGAATTCCTAAATATGAAGTTGAATTTAAACGTGAACTGTATCCTCGATTTCCGAAAACGTGAGGATTTAATGTAGAATTAAAGTGTCTAGCAGTATTATTAAAATCGTCGTAAGTGGTTCTATAAAAATTTGGTCTTCTAAGATTCAACCCCTTAGAGTTTATATAATCATTCCAATTTATATAACGACTGATCTTATCTGTTACACCTGTTGGATATCTGTAAAATCCAGTAGAAGGTCTTCTATCTGATACGATTACTGATGAATCCAAATTCTCTTTAAATCCATTTGGCATGCTTGATTCCTTGAGCAGATGATTCTCCATTTGTTCGTTCGGTGATGATAATTGGGGATTGTTCTGTATATAATCCTGATTCCGTTTATGAGCCAACTGAGGATCAGGGAGATCTTGAATCGCGTAACTTTCTACATCATTCATCTGATCTTTATGATTACTAACTCCAAGAGATTTCTCATTATCTTCTAAGTTTTTATCACTTTGATTCTGTGGATCGATCTGCGGCTTGTAATCCTTCTCGTGATGATCGTTAAAATCATACCTGTTAAAATTTAAAATTAATTAATTATTATTAATGTTCTGTTAACATAAAATTGCTAAAAATTAGTTACTTACGATTGATTAATTGCCTTCTCTCCAGTTAAATCCTTACTTTCTTTAACAGTGCTTAATTCATCACTACTTTGAGTACACTTAATGGGATTACTTTTTCTGTAATTGCATTCCTGATTTTCGTTTACATCAGGATTGCAACCAGAATATTTTTCTATCATATTAATGTTTTTGTCTTCTTTATAATCCCTGTAATTATCCACAGAAGAATATCTCATTCTTGATTCTGGTGTAGGTCTATAAATCTCAGGATCCTTCGTATAATTTGGACTTTTGGAGCCAAAATCGTGTTTAGAAATATCAAATTTTGAGTAATCTTTTTGTAATTTTTGAGAAAATGGAGATTCATACCTTAATTCTTTGAATAACTCATCGGGGTTGCGATCTGCTCGATTGTTGTAATTGAATCTGCTACATGTTTTTGGACGTTCTGTTCTTAGGTTTTGTCTATCGAATTTATATAAATCAGATCTATCTGGTTCTATATAGTTATTTGAAGGCGGATAATTTGTGAATTGATCATCTGCTTCAGGTCTAAACTCTTGAAGACGTTGTGGTGTTAACGATCTCTTATCTAAAAGATCTTTATTTGGGCTTGATGAAGGTCGTTCCATCTTCTGATATTGTTTATCAAAGCCATTAGAGCTTTCTTCTAACATTTTCATTCTTTCTTCGTTCATTTTTCTAATTTTAGCTAAATTATTCAAACATTCCTCCACCTGCTGTGAAAATGTCTTTCCAAAAACATCGTTTTTTCCGGGAAGATGGCCTAAGTAATAATAAGAATAAAATATTTAAAATTATTCATCTCGATAATTATGAAGGGAGAGAGTAATTAAAATTGTCTCATTTGTTTAACAGAATGTTCTGACCAGAGGATTAACAATAATGACCCAAAAATGCATTAACATTTAATAACTGACATGATACTTAAATTGTAAATAAATGCATCTGATTTAAATTAATTGAGGTTTGTCTTCACCTGTTCAAATTTGTTTGAATATCTGAATTGGAACATTTAAAAGTATCTCATTTTATTATTTTCACTCTAAGCAATTAATTAATGAGTAATTTTGTCAATTCATACTGTTTACAATATTTATCAAAGGAACGATATCCATTTTTATCTAAACTTTTCCACAAACAAAACTTCCACTTCAATTAAAACGCCATCCAAACCTGCTGTCAAGTGAGTCTATAAAGTAGGTCAAACAACTGGTTTCTAATTGCTGTCTAAACTGTGGCAAGTGAGAAATGCCGTCTCTGCAACAAAATTTTTCTGAACCACGGTCTACACGATCTTTAAATGGCCGTCGGCATCTGAACGTTCTCTCTGCAATCGGCCCTGAATGTTGTGAATGTAACAAACTTAAAATTTCTCTTTAACACTCCTAAATTTTTTTATTTTTGTTATACCAAGTTCTACTGTCGGAGTGCAATCTGTGATCTGTACTTACAATGCCAGCAACATTGCTGTGTGTTCTCGTTCTTGTCTCCATGCTGTACATACTGTTGAATAAATACTTCTGTCTCCCATTTTATCATATTCTGATATATTTATTTTGATTGAGGATTTACAAAGTATTTTTACTGTGAAATCATATTAAAAATTATAAAAATTTTTCTGATTACATTGCCTTGTAAACATATAGTAAGACAGATGAGTTGACTGTTTTACTAATTTAAAGTTACCAGTATAAGTAAGTTTTTATAGTTAAATTCAATTACTAAATATAGATTACACTAAAAGTAATTTCTTCTTTTTAACTGAATTTATATAAAATATACTTAAAAAATNAAAAATCTTACTGATTTACTAATATTATTAGCCTATATATCAACAATACGTTTAGTATACATAAACACGTGTCCTGTGACTTTTAATGCGTAAAGTAACGTTTTATATGAAGTTTAATGCACGAATAAACGTTTTCCATAGTCATTAAGTTGATAGAAAACATTATGATGGCTAAACAATAAATATAAATGTATCCAAGTAATAGCTAATATAAAATTTCTATCTACCTGTGTATCCAGGTATGAATCTAACAGATGGTATAATAACTTGAAATATATTTTTCGTTTCATAATTTCTTCCCAATCCTTTCTCGTCACTTTCTCTCTCCTAAAATAAATAAATAAACATTTATAAAATTAAGAAAAATGCACCTAAGTTATACATATACAAAGCATTGTATAAAGCAAAACTTGCACATCATTAAATGCACGAAAGCTCAATAACTATTAAAAAAAAAAAAAAGCTTACCTTCAACTGTTGAAAATACGGGATCCTTTCTAGAGATTTTCCATAAATGTGCCTCATTTCCGGAGAAAAACCTTTATAACTAAATAAAGAGGAAACTATAGTGAATAATTGTGTGATTTGCAAACATTAAACACAGTATTGTACTTACTACGGTACTTTCTGCTCTTCTGTTGTCATTTTCGTGGGTGGTTTTAATCTTTCGAATCTGTAAAAACGAAAAATAATAAGATGAGGAGTTGATATTGTGTTGTTTTGTCGATCAACAATATTACCGCATTAATCAGAGGTTACCAATAGCGACGCTTTCAAATGGCACCCCGCTACTATAGCAACAACTGTAAACATCCGTTTTTCTCAATTCGTCTGTCCAATTTTTAATAATAGAAGGCTCTAGACATCAAATACCATAAATTCCCGCCTTCTTAACATAAATTCGACCAATGCCATTCAAGAGAAAAGCCGACATCACTTCGCTGTAAGTATTATTGGTGCCCCCCCTCCTTCGTCACACCTCTCAAGGGATACCACCGTTACCCCTTAAGTAAAGGTATTTTATACTAAGAATATATTTAATGCTGCGGAATGCGTGAATTCGTTCATTCATTTATTAATTCTCTAATTCAAATATTTCCATATTAGAATTTAAATCAATTTATTTACTGTTTACTTTTTTTTTTTTATTTTCTTTATTATTATTATTTTCTCATGGGTAATACCAACAGTCAAGTAACTTCGGGGGTAAAAAAACAAGCCGATACTACATCTCAAGCTACTTATGGATTAGTGGATCTTAAAGGAGGAGGAAAATTAGTTGGTTTGATGAAAGAAGCATCCAAAACTAGAAATTATACAGGGGTATGCAATTGATTTTTCTGTATTTTGTTCGGTTTATATTTAATATTATATAATAATCTTAATATAGATAAATACAGACTAAACAATAAGTTATATGTCTCTATTATCAACAATATTTTCCATTTAAAATACATTATAGTCGATAAAACTTCTTATAAGCATAAGAAGTGTATTAGTTAAAGTCAACAACAGAATATAAAATTAATAGAAAATATATTGATAGAATTTACATTGGAAATATAATTTCACACGAAACGCATTAGTCACCATATTGTATCGATCCTTAAATTAGATTTGGCACGCGAGTCATAAAGTATTACAAACAAATCTTAAAGCTGTCAGATCCAATGAGCCATGGCTTATGTTAAATACACCGTCAACTTATAAATTTAATATCTGTATATTTTTAAGGTTATGTAAGTTTGATAAAAAAAAATAATTGGTTTATTCATCGTTATTTTGAAGATTAAACACAAATAAATGGAAGTTAAATTGTACTACAGATAAGTCACAAAGGAACATGGTGACAGCATAATGAAGTATAATTATAATAATTATACTTTTTTTCCTTTATCAATATAACTATATTTAGCTTATAACTGACTCAAAACTCGATTCACCAATTCGTTATTCAAGGATAATGACTTGAAGCCATTTCAAACAGGTTTTAACTACATTATTAATAAAACCATTGCATTTTGTCCTTACTTCTTTATTGTCCGTATTTCTTTGAAAATACATCTAATACGTAAACTGTACTAGCGCAAAATTTCCCCTATCGGGAAGTTTCGAACTAACCATCAAAACAAAATGGCGGCCGGCCAGAGATTCGAAAACAGAACACTTATTACACCTAACCGATTGATTCTAAGCTTCTTTTTTTTAAATATTACTACTAATAACGTTTCATACGTACTTAAAATGAAAATAAATTATATTATTAATCTATTTATAATATATTTTCTTTAAAAAAAAGCCATACTTTTACTCGATTCACGTTCGTTTTGAAACGGTCGTTTGCATTTCTTAATCTCGAATCTTCCATAAATAATTTTTTTTAAATTTTAAATTATAAATTATTTTTTAAAATTTAAATATTTTAATTAATCTAATTTGAATTAATATATAATTATTATATACTTTATATTTTAAATGAATTAAATTATCTTTAAGCGCCATCACGTGTTGCCAGGTAAACTAAGATTTATGGATGTCGTCATTTCCTGTTAATTAATTTTTAATTATATTTAAATAGTCGTGTTTTTACCATTTTTTAATTACAGTTAGACGATAAGATACGTGAATTAGTGGAACCTTTTATATATAATAAAGGAGAAGGGAAAATTTTTCCTGTCACGGACTTCATTTTGTTGAGAAACAAAGACAGGCCGAAACAGAAACAGTTAACAGTACCGAAGAATAACAATTCAACAGAAAATGAATATGAAAACATAGCGGCTCTCAATGGCACTACTAATTTTATGAGTAAAGGTAATTTAATTTGCATGAGATTGGATATTTTTTGTAGGATACCACTCACTTAAGGATCAATAGATACATTGCATTATGTATTTTATCCGTTTTTGATTCTTAATCCTGTGGGCCCTAAGTTAATCTTTCTTCGTGCTAATCATGGGTTTCACCAGACCCACAATGGGTGCTACCGTGTGAAAAGGAACGGGGCCCGACATAACTGAGACAGACCGCTACCAAAACTTCCTAGAGTCTCTCTCGCTCTCGGATTCGATTCTGGATCTCTCGTAGGGGTATGCAGATGCTATAAACCATCTCGGCCATTCTTTTGTCTAAGTTAGAATTGCTCATTACGTCGCTTAGAATACACAACTTGGAATACAGTTAAATAACTTTGTAGCATAATGAACCATTGACAAATTAAAGGACTTATTTTGAGCTCATCAATTAAATCAACACCAGATATAAACACATTTAATGTTATTGGGATGCAATTTGAAAAAAATGTAGACCTATAAATTCCCATTATATGTCAGACTGCCTGTCTTTCCTTAATCTCGTTAGATACAGTTAGATAGATAAAAGCCGAGACCAAATATGGAAATAATAGTTATATGAGATCCCTATTAACAATATAGGAACTTCCGATACAAATCGGAAGTCACGTTATTTCAATTCAAAAATTTCTCCCTGTTACATGACTGACATGACTCTGCTGCAACAAGATATACAGGGACACGACACTACTAATTTGAGATGAAGAGTATATAATTAAAATTATAACATAAATTTCAATTAAATTAAAGTAAATTTTCCTATTTTTTTAATGATAAAACTCTGTTATTATAGCAATAATACGCTACATATTCTATTGATTAATTGAATAGTGTCATCAAATGCAACTAGGACAGTATTTCGTTCCTTTTATAATATTTTTTCTGAATTTTTGATAATTTATTACTAACAATTTCTTATTTTAGGCCATGTAACTTATTATATATTTAAATATTTATCAACCTAAATCCTTACAGGAAGGCTTTTATAGTATACAGTCGACTCCCTATAACACTGTTGATTATTCCGTTTTATATGAATTCCATGTTGTACGAGTCACTTAGATTTTACAAATACGTGAGCCGTTCACAGCCCGGCACACGTATTTGTAAAATCTAAGTGACTCGTACAACATGGAATTCATATAAAACGGAATAATCAACAGTGTTATAGGGGGGTCGACTGTATATGAAAGCAAGTCAACAATTCTCTGAATTAAAAGCAGTGTATTAGTAGCATATATATATAAATTTGAAAATTTAAATAAGAAAATACCATTATAATTGAATTTTAATCACTTAAAATATGCAAACAGTAAACCTTTTTTTTTTCTATTTGTTGACTCGTATCGTAGTTACGCTTAATTAATATTTAAAAAATTTCAAAATGTACTACTACTTTTCCCCTTTTTCTCTCCAATTAAATTAATTTTTAATAATAATAAAAATTATTTTAAAATATTAACTCAAAACATCGTATAAAATTAAAAATTTATAAATATATCTTTACTAAAATATAATCCTTTAACAGAATCATAATAATTTTTTTTTTTTAAGCATTTAAAACTTTTTAACCTGATCCCATTTGCGTGTTGGCTTCACTGCACGCTTCCTGACCATGCAGGAAAGCAGAACTTGCGTGCAATTTTTAATTTTAGCGAATATTAACGGCGTTTTGTGTTCTAGACACGCTTTATAGATGTATTTATATATAGAAAACTAGTATTCTTCTTAAAATTAATGTTAGTTTATATTAACACTGACAATTTATTGATTGAATCACCGGAAAACTCCCTCTCACACACACACACGAGTTTTTATGTAGCAATTTATTTATATATTTTTAAAATTTTATATGTTATTTACTTGCAGATCCCCCAAAGTATCGAGAGGTTTGTTGGGATTTGTATGAGCGAGGTTCTGTTGGAGAAACAGCGTTACACTTATGTTTTCTAGTGTCTACTTCCATTCATGCTGAGTTAGCTAAACGTCTTGTACGACTTTATCCAAAATTAGTCAACGATGTTTATACAGGAGATGAATATTATGGTAAAAAAAATTTTGATATTTATGTTTTATTTCTATACGTTTTTATCATTTTCTTAAAATAATACAGGAGAAATCCCATTACATATGGCTATTGTCAATGAGGATCCAGCTATGGTCAAGTTCCTGCTCGATAATGGTAGTAACTTTCACGAAAGATGTATGGGTAATTTTTTCTGTCCTGAAGATCAGAAATCATCTAGATCAGACAGTTTGGATCACGAATGGGTTAATCTCTGCGTGAAGACAAACTATGAAGGGTAATTCAAGGATGAATTTCCATTAATCTAACCATTTTCAGAACTCGTCTACTTTGAAAACATGGTAATTTTTTTCTATAGTTATGTATACTGGGGAGAGTATCCGCTCTCTTTCGCAGCTTGCCTGGCTCAAGAAGAATGTTATCGACTTTTGCTAGCAAAGGGTGCAGATCCCAACAGGCAAGATACAAATGGAAATACAGTACTTCACATGTTAGTCATATGGGACAAAATTGTAAGTAATTTTACAAGATTTTCTTCTGAAAAATCTATTAAATCATTCATTTATTTCTCGTATGTTTAGAACATGTTTAACATGGCTTTTGAGTTGGGAGCTGTAATGGATATCGTAAACAGGCAATCTCTTACACCGCTTACATTAGCAGCCATGCTAGCTAAAAAGGAGGCAAGTTATTTTATTAATTTATTTACTTCATTTAATAATAAAATCATGATCTTTCTTTCAAAAAATTTTCTGAAGTACTTTCTGAAGAGTGCCATTGCTTCCCAATTTCTTACAAAGGATTTCTTTTGCTGGGGGACCATTGTAGGCTGTTTTTCTAACTCGTTTATTATATCTTTTATTATTTTTCGTAAATAAATGTAATATTTTCACTTAATTTTAGCGATTTTATATCTTTAAAATACCACTGTCTGTAGTTTCGAATACAAAACATTGGCACTCAATGGTGAGCCTTCAGGAATTTCTTATCATTTGAATGGATAAAATTACACTTTCTACAGAAAAAAAAATATGTAAATCACAGCAAAACATATAGATATTCTTTTCTTTTTTATAACTTTAATCATTATTATTATCGTTTCTTGGAAAATTCCGTAAGATGAAAGAGTCAATAATATTGATTTTTAGTACAATAGCACTTTAAATATTAACATCTCGCTATAGGAATAGCGATATTAGTAACTTTAAATATTTGATTGTGTCCTTCTCTTATGCAATTTTTATGTGTTACAGATGTTTTTCCACATACAAAAGTTACAACGAGAGATTTATTGGCAATTGGGAAGCATTACATGCGCTGCCTATCCTCTAGAAGAGGTCGATACAATCAGCAGCGAAACTGGAGAAATTAATAAAGTTTCGGCTCTCAATCTAGTCGTTTACGGAGTAATTTATGATAAATTTCATATTTTAATGTAAAATTTTGTAATTTTTCGGTTAAATTCTAATGTTTTCTGGCCCATTCTAGGAAAAATCGGGACATTTAGATATGATGGAAGGATTGTTAGTGGACCTTCTTAATGCAAAATGGAACACATTCATCAAATTTAAGTATGAGAAATTCTTTAAAATTAAATTTTAAAATATTTAAATTTAAAAATTTACTTTAATATTTTACCATTTTTATAGATTTTACCGTCAGTTCAGTATATTTTTTATTTATTTTTTAATATCTTCTTGCTGTTTTATCCTGAGACCCGGACCTATTTCACCTTCAAATATCCAAAATATTACAAATAATTCGGATAATTTTACGAATCAGAACGGGCAGGATAAATGTATTCTCTTAAATACGGAAACTTTCGTGGATGTGGTAAGTAATACTTAAAAGAACAGTACAATATATTTTTGTACAAGAACTTGTTAATTAGTTACGCACCCACCAGTAGTCTAATGGATAAAACCACTGAATAATGGTCGTGGGTTCGTGCCTAATCAATAGACTAGTTACGCAGAGTTTTCCGGGTTTCCTTCACGTCCCTAACACTAATAATAGAGGCCAGTTTTCCATAATTCCTCCAGAAGGCATCCCCTTGACAAGTCAGACCGTCATTTATGATTGCAATTGTCAAATCTAAACATTAATGGCAGTCATCAGCGATTCAAAAATGAGTCGTAACTTCAACTTTTTTTAGGATTTCTAAATTTCTAATTATACATTTTATATATATGTACACACAGCTTCGTTTAGTACTAGAATGTCTGACAGCAGTTGGAGCTTTCACATACCTGATCCAGGCTGTAAGAGAAGCAAGATTTTTAGGATATAACACATTTATGGAAAATCTGGTAGGAAAAACCATTTATAGTTTTGTTATAATTAAAGAAAGATGTATAAATCTATTGTTTCGCTATAGATGACTGTACCCTCTCGTGTACTTTTCCTGATATCGTGCCAATTAGTGATGTTAATGATACCCTTACGCATAGCATGTTTATCTAGTGTAGAAGATATTGCTGCAGTTTTGGTGATGCTGACGACAGCTCCTTACTTTTTGTTCTTTTGCAGGTGAAATTATTTGTAGTATCTTATATAAAGGAATCGTGTTCTTCGTTTTAATATAATTTTTATCTTTTCAGAGGCTTCAAAATGGTTGGCCCATTTGTAGTTATGATATATAAAATGATTTTAACAGATTTACTGTGCTTTGTTACTATCTATCTAGTGTTTGTTTTAGGATTTTCACAAGGTAGTGTTTAAAATTTGAAAATTAAAGCATATTTTTTCAAAAAATAACAAAAAATTTCATATTTTTCTTCACTTTATTTAGCATTTTATGTGATTTTTCTATCACATTCTGGAGAACCTGATAAAAACTTCTTCTGTGATCCCATACAGAGCATCATGGCAATGTTTGTCATGTCACTTTCCGAATTTGGAGATATTTATGAAGAATTTGACAACACTGATCATCCTGCAGTGGCAAAAGTAAATTCCATTTTACGTTCTTTGGTTTCTTATGCTAACTTTAAAAGACAAATCTTTTTATTTCAGGTTTTATTCATTGTATATATGGCTCTTGTAACAATATTGCTTATTAATATGCTAATTGCTATGATGGGGAAGACTTACCAAGATATTGCAGAGAGGCGAAATGAATGGATGAGACAGGTTTAATAATTTCATTAAATTCGATTGATATCAATTCTAATTGTAACATACTAATTATTAAAATAATTAATTTACAGTGGGCAAGAATAGTTTTAGTTGTAGAGAGAGGAGTACACCCATCAGAATGTTTAAGGCAACAAAGAAAATATACACAAGGAATGGCTGATGGTCGAAGAGCCTTGGTTCTAAGGCTTCAACAAACGGTATGTACTGTACTGTACATAAATTATCTTAAAATGTACAGAGTATTCATAAAAGAATAGTGGTGTTTTACATGACGGGCTCAATCGTAAGTGCAACTGTCTCTGTGTTATGTGCTCTGTGTACATACCTTTGGTAACTTGGTACACATCCAAGCGGTAGAAAACCTGATTAGGTAGCAATTGTCTTTATCATTCCTACTAAACATGTCCTTACTTTATCTTCAATTAAATTTTCAAAATGATATTTGTCACCCACAAAATTTTCATTTTTAGGACAAAGAAATGGAAGAATTACGCTTGTTAGGTAATCTGAAGACGTCTCACTTAGAAAACATCAGAAGACAGCAAGCGGGTTCTAATATTTTATCACCGAGAAGCACACCGAGGAAAACCGTAAGCACCACCAGCCTGTGAGAAGACGTGATGCAATTATTATATATATACAAACAAATAAAATTTCTATTAACAATGCCAAAAGCATATTCGTTATTACAAGAGTTAACCACATAAATATAATTTTTTAAGAATTCTCTGCGTCATTTATTTTTGTATATCAAAAGCTTAAGATAAAAACTATTGTTACAGATGAGAAATAAAAATTTATTTATTGCATTGCAATAGCGTAATTAATAAGTACGCAAATTAATATAGAACATCGTAAAGACAATGGGTAATTAAATGAAAATTTTACTTACAATAATAATAGACTTTTAATATATATAAAATTATTAACGGAAATTATCGATTACGATGGTCCTAAAAGTCAATCAATTTGTTAGGAAAAATATAAGTCTATAATATAGTAATTTAAAAAAATACAGCATAAAAACTTATAGAATCTCGTAACAGATGGCGCCACATACAATTTTATTTATTATGATTAATAATATAAAAGTTATTTTTTAAAATAAAATCTCATAACTGCTGAGAAAGTTACGCAATTTGTTGCTGGACTTTTGAATTTATATAAGTTATATGCTACAAGTAAACCCTAGTGTTACATTGTCTAGCTTTATTTAATTTAAATTTTAACAGAAAAAAAACTAAACGTCATAAAGAGAAATTAATGTTTCGAATTGTCTTTGTTCGATTTGAATCGATGTATATGGTGGTGGATCGTAAATTTACGCATGTATACACAATAGAACTCCGGTTATCCGAATTGATTCGTTCTGAAAGTAATTCGGATAAGTGGATCAACATGTAAAGAATGAAATTACGGGTATCGGCACACTATTGTATACGTACTGTATTTTATTTATTTAACTATATGCGAATAGCATCCTACTGATCACTTGGATCTGTCACAGCAAATAGTGTGTATATGTAGTCTACGTTGTACTAAATACAAAATGTATGTATTAGTTTCTTTTAAATATGTTTCTTGAACCTGAAAACCTCAATGTGAGTTCGGTTCGGTTGTGGGCAATAAGATCTTTCGCCCACAACCGAACACAATGTATAAGTTTATAGTAAGTTTGTAGCGTTATCAACAATACATACATCAGGGGAGTTACGAATTCATCACTCCAATGTCAAATATAAACACATTTAATGTTATTCACTTTACATTTACAATTTTAAAATTATAGCATATATTTCAATAAAATGAAAGTGAATTTTCCTATTTTCTGGTGATAAAACTTAGTTATTGAGCAATAAACTTCTACATATTCTATTGATTAGTTGAATAGTGTCATCAAATGCAACTAGGACAGTATTTCATTCCTCTTTAAACTATTTTTTTTTAATTTTTGATAATTTATTACTGACAATTTCTTATTTTAGGCCACGTAACTTATTTTACAGTCATATATAAATAAAATATGTAAATATTTATCAACCCAAATCCTTAAAAACTTTACAGGAAAGCTTTTATGGCATCTGAAAGAAAGTCAACAATTTTTCTATTATTAAAAATATTACTGATAATATTTTTACTAAATTGAAAGCAATATACAGTCGACCCCCCCCCTAATTACGGTCCCTATAATTACGATTCCTATAAAACTACGAAAAAATTGTGACCGGTATTTTGGAAAATATGTATAAAAATATACGTATTTTGGAAATGTTGAGTCGGATTAGTCTAGAATCGATTAATTTTATGGAAGAAAATCTTTCAAACAGCCGTAGTCCATAAACTTGGCACGTGTCGGGTTGTGATTGGAAGGATTCGTAAGAAATCAGATTCCTAAAGAATGGAACGTATCTCTATCTTATAGGGGGGTCGACTGTATAGAAAATTTATTATATAAAAACACTTAAATTGTAAACTCCAGAGATAACATTTGAAAATCCTTCATAAGCACAACCCAGCGTACTTGTAACAATCAATTGTTTTATCAGTATAAATATATACCCTGTATAAATAAATATTCTCATGTAGAAAGAAATGTAAAAATTGTACAAATTATAATTTTATTTAAATATTGTATGTAACAATTATTAAAAATATACATTATAAAGTTTTAACTGTACAATGTTGGGTGTATAATACAAAATCCAATTTTTGACCACTTTATTCTGTGATTTGCTTAAAGGTTTTGACCTCACTATTGTAATAATTCGCTAATCTTTATGACCAAATCCTCCAGATGCGCTTATTACTCTTGAAGAAATTCTGTAAAATAAATTATAATTATAAATACATATTATATTTCTCAAAATACAATAAAACAAAAACAAAAAGGACTAAACTAATTTGACATTAGAGGTAGGCATTATATTTAGGCGATCGTTTGGTAATTTATTATATACTATTCGGGCTTTGAGTTGTTGTTATTTATATATACAAAAAGGACTATCTTGAAGTTTAAAAACTCCAAGAAAGTCTGCAGGTTCAGTGGCAAGGGACAGGGCCTAACATATCCAATAGAGACCCCTCTAAATACTTGATTTTTTGATCATGGGATTTGATCCTGAGTCCTGTGTTAACACCTTAGTAGCCTAGATTATCTGGCAAACACATGTATGAACTGGAAAACATTTAAAACTTGAACATTTATGCAAAAATTTGAAATACTGTAACAAAAAGTTGGTTTTTTCCATGTTAAATAAACATTATATTTTACTTCCCTTTGTTAACACAAAGGTTAAAATATTTCTCAAGTCCAAAAAAGCAGTCTTAGTTTTAGTTTAAACCATAATTATGAAATTAAGTGTTTTTTTTTATATTAAATACATCAAAATTATGCAAATTCCTTACTCATTCCATGAAAGTCTTTCATTTACAGTAACTGTTGCACCCTTTTCTAATAAATGAATTACGATCCTGGCTATATTACGAGCATCGTCTAATCCGCAATGTTTTCGTCCTTCGAATTCCATGTCCAGCGTTTGCAACATTTTCTTCAATGAACGCTAAATTCAAAATACAAAATATATAAATAAAACATAATAACTAAAGTAAAATGCATGCTAAAATGTCAAATTTATAACAGGGCAGTCAATGTCTTTGATATACAGTTGTGAGATTCTGAACACCCCCCCTTTATTAATTGAAAATTTATGTCAAATCCATAAATGTTAGAAATAATATTTCTGATTTAAATGAAAGAATTTTAAGTTAAAAATGAAGGAAACTGGTAAAATTCACTTCCTTCTGAACAGAAGTTCTACATCCTTTTTGTTTTCCCTTATCTTCACAAATTTTGAGTCACATACAGTCCAGTTACCCCTCTGTAAACCCCCACTCTTCCTAAACACATGAAAATAATACAGTTTTCTTATTGGAGAAAAACATCAAAAAAAGGGATTCTTTAGTATCATTCGAGGAGTACGCCACAAAATTCCATAAGAGAAGAACCTATTCCATATCATCTCCCCACGTCCAATGCCCATAATCAACTCCGAAGTTCATACAAAGTTTGTTATTTAAGTTCCTAAGTAGAAGAAAATGTTTATTAAAGTGCCACCGAAGAATTAACCAAAGATAAGAACATTCGCAGCTATCTGGAAATTAAGAAGAAGATAAAAGAATATAATTTGAGGTAGTATGATTTTAACTGGAAACATGATTGCTCTCTCTGCAATAGTATAAATAGATATATATTGAAGGTCCACTTTGTATACTTGTCCTTTTCCTTATTAAATATTTGATATTATGTTTGAAACTAAGTCTCATTATGTCTGAATCAAAATACTTCATCCTCTCCATATTGAAATGAACGCGTGTTAATCCACATGTAATAAATCTGATTAACTGATGTCTAGGATCCTGAAGATATCTAGAACTCACCATCTAGATCTTTCTTTTAACATTCTAAAAGCCCTCCTTAAAAATATTTAGAGATCGAATCTCACGATTTTGAGTCGATTAAGTGGTACTCCCGTTTAGTACCCCCGGCTAATCTCACATAGTAATATGCCTAAACCAATTATGATATGGCTAAAAGGGGAAGATAAAGCTTTAACGACTTATTGTGTATAAAATATGAAATAAACAAAATATTTTATTTACGACATATTTTACAATCTCTACCTTGTATTGTAATTTAAAGTTTTCAACACGGTTATTATTTAATATTCTAGTGTCATAAAGGTAAGTGGGCATATGAATGGTGCAGGAAAACAGAAGAAAAAGCGAAAATATTCAGATGAGTCTTTTTCTGTCTGATTAACACACATGAAGAATTAGTGATAGTGAGCTCTTGATTATTAGACAAAGATGCTGTAAATTATAAAATTCTTTGTATTTTTACATTACAGAAATTAAAAGCACATCTGCAAAAGCAAGAGAAATGTACACAAATCCCCCTAAAAAAAAGTAATTTCTTATAATGATAGAGTACCGAGAGGTTTTGAAAACCATGCACCGGTATTAGCGACCTTATTCACTCAAGGCATGGATAGGTAGAAATACTGCCTCATTGAGAATATTGATGGGTTTCTTACCATGCAACCTGATCCTTTGTTTGCCCATCCATCTAGCACACACAGCTACCCATAATTTATAATGCAAGTGAATTTTTTCCTCCCATCCATCCAACAATGTATTCCCTTACCTTAGAGGTGAAAGAAATGTTAGTATATTTGAAAATTCTATTTATAACATAACTGATTTTGACAATGCTAACTATATTTTCCTTTAATCAATTATAATTAAAAGCTAATAATAAATTTACATATAATCTATCAATGTCTAAACGTAGCATCTAATATTTTACTCAATGTATAAGATATGTAATTGAAGTTGTCTTAATATAACCAATTCTAACAGATGAACAGTGATGGATGGATGGACGGCCAAAACTATCAGCTACTGACTTTAGGGACTGATACAAATCTCCATTAAACCCTGAGATTTTCTTGAATGGCTTTGAACAGTTACACCAAATCCCGACCCAAACCACCTAATGTGGCTTGATTGAGCACGATAGCCACAAAACATAGCATATAGTAATGCAAGCAATACACTTATTTATACCACTACAATCCATGGTGGTTTTAGACATAAGAAACCTAGAATTAAACTCTTTTAGTGGCGTATGTCTTACAATATACATATATACAGAACAAGGATAAAAACAAGTATTTGTATATGTACTTGTTCCAAGATCTAGTATAAAATATTAGCTTGCATCTAGATCAGTATTTTCAACAAGTGTGCCATGAAAAAATCATAGGTGTGCCACAAAATTTTTTAAGATTATAAAATTAATTATTTTTAAAAGGAACCCAAAGAACAATAAGCGTACATGTCAAAATTAAAACCATAAGCAAAATTATATGTGCATAACACTGGGTTATTTCATTTAAATGAAATTTTCTTTAAATCAAAAATGTACCTATCAATATATTGTCCATATTTAGTTCAAAGTATTTTAACTTAAAAACAGCAGGACGTTTGACAGGTTTCTAAAGAGAATTACCATGCCACTTTTAAATGCAAATTAAGACTTAACGTTAATTGCTTTTCTTACTTAAATGAAAATTATTAATTTACATAACCATTGTTGTAACCTGCTGCTATTTTAAGGAATGACAATACTGTTTTTATTTAATTCACAGAAAATGTAGACAAAAACAATTACGTTAAGTGGCAATACAATATTTACAAGGACAACTTTAAGTCACGTAAAATTTAATTATAGATTCAAGTATGCCATGAGATAAAAAAGATTTAAAAACACTGATCTAGATCTCGAACAATATAGTATTATGTGATATATGGTATCAAAGAAAGGCTCGACATCATACAGACTTACGTGAATCGGTTTACCAATCATGCTTGCTACTTTATACATAAAAGAATTAAACAGTTTTATTTTATTATCAGTTTACAATGCTGCAAAGATAACTATTTCACCATTTGATGTTAGTAAATAAAATTCAATACATTTTGGTATTATCTAACATCAATGGAATAACTGTAGCTAACTTGGATTTCTTGGAATAGCAAAGCAATTGGTGCAAAAAGAGAAGGTGAATGAATTGAAAGATTGATATTTCTCTTTTGTGATGTATACAAATTTGTCATCCCTAATAAAAAAAAAACCATTCTTGAAGTTAAAAGACTGCTTTTGTCTATGTTCTGTTCCAAAATAAATCAGTATATTACAGTTCTAATCACTTAAATATAAGATGAAATATATTGGAAAAATTTCAAAATTGAACTGGAATATTATGTAAACCAAAAGAATCTATAAAAAAAACATTAACTCTTTGAGTGTTAATTGTTTCAGTGTTTGTGAAATGGACATTTATGATCAATTCAAAAGTAAATTATAGAAGTCATTAGTTGTACTTAACAGGATCACTTGAATATCAGCAGCATGAATTTGTTCATATTGCATTTGGTTCATTTCAATGAGTTTAAATTTAGAAATTTTGAATATGAAAACAAATACAAGCCTTATAAACACTATAGATTTTCCTGTTACAAACATCCAAATGATTGACTAAATAATAGATAGAATAGCTCAGTGTAATTTAGTTGAAATGAATATGAAACTATCCAATAATCAAACTAATGACAAGTAGACAATTTAGTTAAGTTTAGAAGCTGATGTCAAATGGAAGGTTTAAAACTATAATGCATTTTAATAGTTGCAATATGATCACTTTCAGTTGAATACTATAAAATATAAACCTATACAAAAATACATACTATAATTAATCCATTAAAAATTTAGTAAGAATATCTAACCTTTTTTGTCTTGTAAAAGTTGGCAAATGTTTTACAAATGTTGACCCACTTTTTACCAAACTTTGGAAATGAAGTATGGCTCAAATCACACTGAACAACCAAAAACTTATTCATATCCCATGGTCTGTAAACAAAATAAATAATTTTTAATAAAGAAATGCACTTGTACATATAAAGTAATTATAGATATACGATGAAGTATCAAAAATCTGGTTTCTTCTGTTGAAAAATGGCTAACCATTTCAATAGTAAATTCATTGCTAGTGTTGTTTTGGCCTTATGTTGTTGATGTGCTAATATTCATTCAAAATTTGTAATTCTTTAATTTTGAAATTATGATTAGTGTAATTTTTGTTTAAACATAGGGATTATGTAATATATAGTTTACAACTTTCCTTGTGAAACTTGGACTTGGACTTGAACTTGAACTTAGAACTTGAACTTTGAACTTGGACTTGAACTTAAAACATCTAAACTTGAATGACAAAGTATTTGGAGTTTACACCTTTATTTTTTTTAATTTTTATTCTTCAAGTTACAGATTATTGGTCCTTGTCCCTTTCAAAGTACTCCCCTTCCTTATTCACACACTTATCCCAGTGGTGTTTCCACTTTTCAAAGTAGTCCTGGTAAACTTCTTTCAGAATGTTCTTCAATGCTTGTGATAAATTTGTTTTAATGTCATCAATTATGTCAAAATGATGTTCTTTCAGCATTGATTTTAATTTTGAAAACAAGAAAAAATCACAAGGAGCCAGGAATGGTGAGTAGGGAGACTGGAGAGGAGTGTCATTTGATTTTTGGCACAAAACTGGTAAATTGACAAGGTTGAGTAAGCAGGCATGTTGTTACTGCGAAGGAACCATGAGTTGTCTTGCTACAACTTTGGTCTCCTTTTATGAATTTTTTTCATGCAACCATTTCAAAACATCTGCAGAGTACTGACAGGTGACTGCTTGACCTGAGGCAAAAATTCAAAGCACACAACTCCGTTGAGATAGGAAAAAAAACAGTGATCACCACCTTGAAATTTGATTGAGACTGTTGTTCTTTTTTCAGGTGTGGAGATCCTTGCCAATCCATTGTGATGATTGAACTTTTGTCTCAATGTCATAACTGTAAACCCAACTCTCAACCTGTTATGATCCTTTGCATGAATGTTTTGTCATCATTGACTTGTTGAAGGAATTCCAGGCAAACATCCATTCGATTTTCCTTCTGCTGTTCGGTCATCAAATAAGGAACAAATTTTGCTGTAACTTGATGCATGTTCAATTTTTCCATTAAAATGTCATGGCACAACCCTTTTGACACCCCAACCTCTTCTATAAGTTCTCTGACAATTAGATGATGATTTGCATGCATTGGATCCTTGATTTTGTAAACATGAGTGTCATCAGTTGAGGTCAAAGGCCTTCCTGGTTGAGGGTTATCTTCAATTGACTGACGACCACTTTTGAATCAGGTAAACCATTTGTAACACTGCATACAACTTAGAGCATTGCCTCAATAAGCTTAATTCAAAAGTTGAAATATTTCAGTAAAACTTTCCCCAGTTTCACACAAAACTTTACATTGCATCATTGTTCCCATAAATCACACATTGAAAAAATCACCATGAACATTGAAACACCTTTCACTCAAAAAACAATAATGTGTGAACGAAATGCGATATCAACAATCCAAAAAAAGCAGCTTACTCAGTAGGTTATCATGAACATAGTGTTGCCAACCTCACAACACTAGGAAACTCCATTTCCACTCAATTCAAAAAGTTTGATTATTTTTTGAAAAGACCTCATATTTTGAACAACTCTAAGTTCAAATGTTCCAAAGTCTGAATGCTAAATTCAAGAGAAGTTCAATCCAGAGTTTAAATAATGCTTCTACATTCAAACTGCATACACAGTGAAAAAATGTGCTTGTTATGTAAAAGGCATCTATTGTGTGCCAGTGTGTCGTCTCTCACTGTCCCTGGGAAAGCATCTCTTGCATTGCATAAGTATATTTTCAGTGCTTTTTTACTTTATGTTTGGTGCATTTAAATGTTCTAATCTTCTAGAAACTGGCAGGTAATTAAAATAAAGAACATACTAACCTTATGTTTCTCCCACCAGAATGGAAAAATTAACACAAATGTAAGAAAATTAAGACAAAACAAATGCTTCTGGTCTACTCCTAAGACCTGCTTCAGGTTGATGAAATTACTTCAATTTTCAAAAATGGAATGCAATGAAAACTTAGTATAAATTCAAATTTATATATTAACCAATGGGGTGTCTTTATTTTTATTTGCTGTAGTAAATCTTCTATAATGACATATCATATAAGGTTTGTCATGCATGGGAAATTTATTTTCCTTCTTTAAAATTGATATATGTTCCCTGCTTTTCTGTTTTAAATACTTCTAGCGCTTCCAAATGCTTGAGATGTTCCATTTTATTCTGTTTTTTTTTTTTAATTAATTTCAATTGTAAGTCAGTTAGAATATCATTTTCAAAAAAGTTTGTTTTGTTTTAATTTTCTCACATTTGTGTTAATTTTTCCATCCTGCTGGGATAAAAATAAGGTTAGTGTGTTCAGTTATATTGTAACCCTTACCTATTAACCAGGGCTATGGAGTTGCGTAAAAATCTACCGACTCCAACTCCGACTCTGAATCTTCCTTACCAATCCGACTCCGACTAAGACACCAAAACTCCACGACTCCGACTCCACAATCCTGCCAGGGGTGTGGGGTCGCGTAAAAATCTACCGACTCCAACTCCGACTCCGACTTTTCCTTACCATCCAACTCCAACTCCGACTCCGCCTAAAACACCAAAACTCCACGACTCCGACTCCGACTCCACAGCCCTGCTATTAACCTTGGCTCCCAAGAAATATGTGGAAGCAAGAAGGTTGTAGTGGTGATGGTTGAGGTGAAAAAAGTAACTTTATTGCAAAGCATGAAAGCAGTACCTATGCAGTCATTCCGACTGCCACATTTAAGATGCCGAAGTCAACAACAATTATCATTCTTAAATATAAGAAAGCAATAAAAGCAACAAATGTGGCTAAAGGTGTGATCTAAAACTTTTAACCAGTAGTGTTAAGAAACAGAAGAGAAAGAAAAAAACCAGAAATACAGTTATTTGTTGTGTTTATGGAAAGTATCTTCGTTTGTAAATAGTAATCATTCTCTTCCTCTCCAAGAGCAACATGGTACATCGCCACTCCTCACTAAGTTATAGTAAATGTAATTTTTATTTTATTATACAGTATTCACATATCTTGTTAAGTAACTTAAATATGCAGCATGGATATCACGCCAACAGTTTTACTGACTTTAAGAGAAAAATTCACATAAAACATGTCAAAAGCACTCGCAGGATATTAAAATGTTTTTTAAAATGTTCTTTAATGACTTTTTATGTGAATTTTTCTCTTAAAATCAGTATATACATATTTTATGTTTTGTTTTCAAGTTTTAATTTATTATTTAAGATATTAATTGTGTTATTTTTATCTTTAATTAAATTTACTTGCTATCTAAGTTTATCAAAATGGTTATTGTTTAGAATCTGGGAACAGATTAATTAACTTTCCATTATTTCTAATGGGAAAATTGTTTCAGACTTCAATTCAGAGTTTGAATGGCTTCCTGGAATGAACAAGATCTAAAGTACAGGGCACCATTGTATTCGAAAATCCGGGTAGGGTTTGGTCCGAATTAGTCCAGATTTTTGACACTTCACTATATTTCTAAAGAATAAATACAAGAGAAAAAACCGTACATATTTTCATGCATTTAATGAATTTACTTCAAAAATTTCATATCATCAATCCATATTAACAAAATTCTAAGCATACAACATAGACATAACATATAGCAAAACCACTAGATTCATGCACATATCTTATCCTCTGTGACAAGGCTACATGCTTCAGAGTATGATCTTTGCAATAGAACTATCACCCGTGTGACAATGAGATAGCCATGACTATAAATTCGTACATGTCTTATTATTGAAGGCACTGGCTCGATGGCAAGTGTCCTCAAACATTACATCCTTCCTCCAACTAAAGACTACACTGCAATAACTCCTGAAATATTTTGTAACTAGAAAATAAACTTTGTTGATATGAACAGATAATATAATGGCAGAATTTAAACATACATCACCCAGAGAATAGATTTATAATTTCTCCTATTGCAAAGGTTATTGACTTTTATGAGATTTTGTAATTAATTTGAGTTAGGACATTCTTGTTCAACTCTCAAGAAGGACTGACTAATTCTACTAAAAGGTTTGATTGATCTTATTCTTTAAATTTAATGAATACATTAAAATTAACAATCACATTCTTAAAAAGTGATAAATTTATTTAAATATAATTATTTTTTATCTATCTACAATTTACTTGAGAAGTGATTCTTACCCATCCGTCACAATGGCAAATGAATTGCCACACCCAAGTTTGTAGCTAGCCATCCACGTCATAAATCTTTCAAGAACAAAGGGAAAAGTATCTGCTTTATCAACCACATCCTTTAAATAAATCAATTTTTTTTAATTTTATAATCTCTAATATTAAAAATAAAAACTCAAAATTATTTTTATAACTACACAAAAGTTACACTTATAAAAATCATGCTGATAGATTCAAACCTACTACTATTTATCTTTAATAGTTTAATGAAAAGAGAAATGAAACATCATTCCACAATTCAAGAACTAAAATTTCAAATGGCTGAAGTCAAATATTTTTTGTTTAGATTCCACTGCTTTTTTGTTTATGACATTTCCTAGAGGTAGTAGTCAATGAGACAAGATGGGGCATAATACAGATGTGAGACAAAACTCAAATGGTTACTCTATTGATTAGTGTAAGTCTCACACTTCTCTGATAATGGTAACAGTAATTTAATGTGATAGCATTAATTTGAAAGATCCTGTACTTCTGAAACTTAACTGGAAACTGTTCAATTATAGTTTAATGCTTGTAAATTAGAAATATTAGACTTCAATAATCTGAAGCATTTGAACCAAAAATTACACATAATATTTGAATAAAGTTAAAAACACTTTAAAAATATTAATTCTGATTATAATTATACAAATTTCTTTATCTGTAAATATATAATTATCTTCTTACAATCAAATAAAGGCATCATTTCCTATGATTTCGCGAGCGCCTTTTATGCTCTAAATATTTGCAAACAGTAACGCCACAACACTTAAGTGTATTTATTTTATATATTTAAATGTAGGCGTAAAGTGTAATTCATTTTACTATGATTTTACTTGTCAAAATAAATCATAGGACCATACACATAAATAAATCAAATAAAAGAAAACAAAGTTTATTTTTTTCCTCTATATTTCATTCATTTATATATATTTTTTATGCTTTGAAAAATGATTTTTGATGAACAATTTGATATTATGTATCAGAAAGTTTGATTTTGAATTTCATTGTTTAATTACACAATTTATCATAGAAATGAAATTTTTTTTGATTAATTCAAAAACTTNAGCTTAATGTTATAAGGTGAAAGTAATAAGCCAGAACCTTAATGTTATAAGGGCCATTGGCCCTTATAACATTAAGGTTCTGGCTTATTACTTTCACCTGACAGTTTGATTTGATTTTTGACTAAGATCTCCTCTCTTTGCTAATCAGAAACTTCACCAGTATGATAAGTCCTATTAATAAACAAGGTCTAAGTAGACAATAAATATACAAAAATGTAAAACAGTAAGGACAAAGAAGTAAAAAAAAAATTAATATATACACATTAATTTACAGAATCATTTTTAAATTTTATGAGGAATTATTTTAATCAATCTAGAAATCAACTCAAAGTGACACAAAATATCAATACAAAATAATAATAAACTCAGAATTACTTACGTTGATTTCAGACTTAGCCTTTGTAACATAGTTTCTAACTCTTCTTTGTTCATTTTATTTATCTTTGAATGAATACTTCCCAAGCTTTGTTTCGTTACATCATAAATTAATGGTTTCACATTCGTTTCTGAGTGCTGTTTGCATTCCAAATCTGTTTCTTCTCCTGACAGTTGGATGAAAGCATTATCCTCCTCATTCTCTTTTCCTTTTAAAACTGGTTTGGCATCATTATTTTCTTCACTTTCTTTTTCCATTTTTTTACTGTAAAATAATATTCCTCATAAACCAAATACAAAAAACAAAACAGAATATTATAATTTAACTTTTGCTAATGATTTTCTTTTTACATTCAAATATGACATTACTTTATCACTAGTGGTTATCATAACCTAGTCGCCCCATTGTGGGTATGGCCGAACCCATAATGGGCCTGCTATAAGAGGTCCTCTTAGTGCCCATAGGGTGGAAAGAGTATTAAAAAAAAAAAAAGTGGTTACCACAAAATGTTATGCCACTAACCCATGTCCAGAAAACTGAAAAATCCAGAAATCCGGACCACTTCCAATCCCAAATTTGCTGGATATTTGATCCGATACTATACTGAATTTTAATAAGAAGTAAGAGTTTAAAAAGCAAAAGTGGCTGATAATACTAGATTCCTATCACTTTACGACCTAACTGAATTCTATCATGTATCACTCAGCATGCACCAAGGCAAGTCCAGTTCCTCCCACATGATCTTACAATTATAACAACAATCATGCAAATCTTCATCCTTAGTTAATTAAGGGTAGATTGCATGGTAAGGGAGGAACAAACAGCATCCTTGATATAGTCACAAATCATTGTGTCTGATTTGGTAAACAAGGCACTGCTGGTTGTATCAAGGATGTCATGTTCAATCAGAATGATTTGAAGATGTAGATCAAGATGGATATTCCCACCATTGATAGAACTATGCTGCAAAAAGTATGAGAGGAACTGGGCAACCACATTGATGTGTCAAGTGAATTCTTGTACATACAGAATTTTTTTCCACCCTCTTGTATAGTTTTTATGATTGTATATAAAATACTTCTAAAAAATCCAAGCTTTTATATAGTTAAAATATTACATGATTACTATATAAATAACAAAGAGATTGCCAACAAAACAATGCAACAATTCAATAAAATACACTTTTTCCCATATACTCATAATACAAGATTTATATTAATTGTGAAAGTTGATCATCATAAACCAAGTAAAAGCTACCTGCATGTTAAACATGGATAACAAAAGTATTATAATTAAATATGTATGAAAAACATTTATTTAAATATTAATTTATTAATTTATTTAGTTGCATAGAATGTAACAGAATATAAATTCGGTAAAAGGTTACTGTATTTATTTATACTGTTTGGAAATGCTTACCAGTTCAACCACCGAGACCAGGCATTGTTTGAAAACATTACCTGTTTCCAGTGATTTACCAGCTGCTATCAGGCTCACCATCTTCAATGGTGAGATAGAGGTTGAATGATCAACTAGCAATGTTGTCATTCATCACTAATCAGTAAGCATTTCCAGACTATTAGGAAACTCAAGTTCTCCAGAAAGTTTTCAAATGATGTAACCCAATTGATGTATTTTCCTTTGCTCAAAGCAGCTAAAGTTTCAGAAATAAACTAAATGAACACTTCAGTTAATAGAAGTTATAATGAAGAGATTTTAGATGTATCCTTGCCCCACTGACACAAGTACAGACCGACTATTCTTGTCTTCTCTCTTATTATCACAATTATCATTTTCCTGGAAAAAAGAGTAATTTGAATCTTGTTTTTTTCAGTAAAAAGTTGTCAACATATCAAACAGGTATTAATGAAATCTCTGTAGTCACAGATAACAGCTCAATTTCCAGCAAGTGTATTAAAAAGTTTATAAAGAACTCCCAACAAAGGAGAGGATTAAAACTTTAATCAATGTTTATTAGTATAATAATATTGTATAGATCTATTAAAATGTCTTCTCACAAGAGTTGTGATACAGTGATCTCAACAAATATTAAACAATCTCCAATTACCAGTCATATATTCTAACTAGCTATAGCATATTATCTGAAAGTATTTATCTTCTTTGATAACATTAAACCTTTAGCTCATTCTAGAAGCAAATACTTTTCAACATGTCATGTTTTCACACTGAGGTTATAAACAAGTACCCTTAGTCTGTACCCTTAATGATATTAATTTATAAATATTCACTCACATTGCTCTAAATAGTGTACATTAATCTCCCAAATATCTCTTAAATTCTTGTTCTTGCGACTACGTATACAACTTTGTCCAAAATGCAATCAACAGACAACTCCGCACCATGTGCTCCGAACCGAAAATCTATTACTCACATCTACTTCCGGTATAAACATATCGATTTCACGTGTTGACCACGTGAAGATAATAATTTCTATTAAGACCATCACGAGTCTCCTTTTAATCTTTAAAGAAGAATGCTTAATAGACATTTCCAAAATGCGTATAATTTTTTCTCGTTATCCCATATAAAAAGTGCTATAAAGAAAAAATCGTAGGACTACTTACCTAATGTGCGCCGTTCAATATGACGTTGTTTAAGGTCGTTGTAGTCGCGGAGCTGCACATTGGACGGCGGAGATGGCGACATCAATTGGTCATGTGACTACATGGACTAGTCACGTGACGTTTTCGGGTGTTTCTTTTGAATTTTCAAAAATAAATATAAATGAAATTCGACACTTGTAAATTTCATTTTTCAAACCGATGAATGTTTTTACGTAACACGTGACGTAAAAACATGACGGGAACGTAATACGTCACGCGTTGTTAGAAATATATTCTAACAATACGTAACGAATTGTTGTTCGAATTTTCTATTGTTAATGGCCATTGTTAAGCGTAAATTTGCTTGAAAATTTCGCGTTTTTTCCAGAGAAATTATGATTAAGTATCTTCAGTAGTATACTGTACTAGAGCCGAAGAGAGTCTGTGTCCTGTTTCTTAAATAAATTCGTTATGGTTGGCTTTTTTTTAAACTCTTTCCGTCCTGTGGGCACTATTATAGCAGTGGCGTGCCGTCATTAGAAGCGTTGGAAGCGCCGCTTCCCTCGTATTCTCTAAAAAATAAATAAATATTAATTTTAATTATATGAAAATAATCGCACAATATTTTATTATAACCGCATTATGTATCTTATTACAAATTTCTATACTACACGTGGAAAAAAATAGCTTTTGTATATTCGAATATTAGTGGCCGAGTGGAATCTCCTGTATTTTCAGATTACGAAAAGCCAGATTTGCGCATGCGCTTTACAGAGCACCAACCTCACCCGGTTTAGCCGGTGGAAGCCTACGACCTTGGGTG